TGCAGCTCCGAGAATGTCCACTTGGCTCCAAAAGCAAAACAACCTCCGGAGGTCCAATCGCTATTTTATGATGTCCAACTTTAGATAAACATGCTTGCTGTCTGATACACTTCTGGTCTCTATAATTAATTTGACCGTTCATGACAACTGCCCAGGTGGTAAACATTTATATGACCCATCCGTTTAGATTGTAGTAAGGCTTGAAAATTATGCACATCTTCTGGCATGCCTACTGTTAGTGACAGAGGGGTGCGCTCATAGGACAGTCTGTGGCCCAGAGATATTTGTATGGCCCAACTTAGCTCCACTCACACTCCACCTTTTCGCTTATTTTTGGATTAGCCGGGAGTTAGGAGGAATCAGATGCTGTCAAAATGGCTATGGCCACAGCAACCAAACTGAGCTTCAAAACCTATGAGTGACATCACAGAGGGTTCTTCCATCTTTACATACAATTAATGGTGCCACCATGAGGCTAATCTTTTTTTGTTTAAGATCAAATTTCTCAAGAATGATTGGATGTGTTGCCATAAAATTTAGTGCAGGCATTTATGTTCCCTGAAGGATGAATTGTCATCATCAGATTTATTTATGTTTGTAATCAAAAACCTACAAAATAAAGACACTTCCATTATTCTTAGATGTACTTTATTTAGTGTGTTTTACCAAAAGTAAGCATGATAACACACTAAACTAAAATAGTGAAAATGCATCACATCTGCTTCACAGCAGCTTGTTAGCTTTGTAACCATTGTGAGCAGGTTAGCATGCTAATGCTAGCATATAGCTGAAGAACAGCTGTACCTTAATACAGCTTCAAAGGGTCACAATGGTAAAGGAATTTCTGGTAGAGGGTCAAAGGTTCAATCTGACTCCATCGACAATTGACGAAGCAGTGTTTCCACTCCACTTGCTCCTCAGCTACTATAACAAGGGCCATGGTGCTATGTGGAGCTTTTGGTCTCCTGTGACATGTCTAAAGACTTTGGTTGGGCATGTGAGGAGCTCTTTGAATATTAATATAGATCCTGTTGAGGGGAAGAGATCAAGAATTGAAAGGACGAGGCTACTGTTCACTGCTATCATGACATCTCTGATTCTCCTTAATCAACCTGCTCATCAGTAAACTTATGCTTTTCAATGTGGCTCCCAAATTTTCTTGTTACAAGTCAGTTTTATTAACCTGCTACCACCTGCTCACAAGAATTTCCATCGCACTCTTAACGTGGCTGTAAACAATTGGACTTTAATGTAAGATGCTTAATGTAAGACTCAAAGTAAAGCCAGTGATGTCTGAGCTGTCACCTGAGGTTTGATATCTACTGGCAGATGGACGTATCCTAACTGACAGGCCCTACATAAAGAAATCAACATGCAGAAGTGGCCCAGTTTGCTGTTACATGTGGAACTTATCCCCACAGGCTACAGCGCAAAAATAATTCAATTACACCAGAAATTCAATTAAATTGGGAAATCCACTCAGATTCCAACATCCTTATGACGAACTTACGTAATTGAAAGTAGAGCAGTTCTTGAACATCAGCAGGACGTCATCTACAAACTGCTCTGCAGTGAAGTAGTGGAGAGTGTTGCTCTTGTCCAATTTCCTGCGGATCACCGACAGGTCGATGGGCCTCTTGATGATCTGGTAGTAGTTTCGTGCCTGGAGAACATTCAGAGATTAGATCATTGTAGGAGGTGATGGTGTCATTTTAACATCATCTTTGATATGAAAGAGATGTGGAACATTTTCCTACAGGCCAAGTGTGTTTTCTCTACTTACATAGGTTGTTAAATCAATTACATACTGCAGCTGCATTGTGCTTTTACTGCCCTGTAGAGTTTCAAATGATTCAAATTTGGCCAAATGTGGTGTTTTTTTACCCATACTGTAATGGTGTGTGTATGTTATTGATTACAGCCAATTTATTTCAATGTAATGGCTGTAAGATATTGTGTTTTTTACATCAATCGTTGGACTGACCAGAGGGCTGACAGGCTCATGGAACGGAGCACTGAGCATGTGACAGTACAACAGCAGAGTCAACTTCTCACACCTCTGCAGAGAGGAAAACAAAGAAATATGCAAACAATAGTCAATATGGTGAACCTTGTCAACTTCTCCAGAATGTATGTATATGTATTTTACACACATTGTTATATTACATAACATAGAACATAACATGTATCACTTTTGGTGTTTTGTTCTTTCTTTTATTTGCTTTAATTCAACCCTGGTTCTACACTACAGCTCACCCTTTGGTCCTGGCTGGACAAAGTGTAAGGCGCTTTGATTCCCCCACAGGAGTGCATGTTCTCACACTCATAGGCCTCCACAGCCTCTTGGTCAGTTCTACACAACGTACACACCCAGTCACCTCTGTAGGATGTACAGGACCTCAGTTATTTTAGGTCAGGACATGAGAACATACACTACATCCACATGTCAGGAGCCACAGTCACAAAAACAAGCACAATGATTTTTTAACCCCCACTGAGTTACTCTATATGCCTAAAGGAAATTCTGCTGTCTGGTGTGTTGACAGCCAGAAAACCACAAAAACAGGTACATATAAAGCTTATATATATTGCCAGGATGAAGGATTCACTGGTCTAATTCACAGTCACATTCGTGCTCTGAGTGATCATAGAAGTATGTGTACATGTGATAAAGCTGTACATTGTGCAGATTTTTGTGTTCACACGGTACTTACTGTGGGAAGCAGATTAGAGCAGGTATATGACAAGACAAGTGGTAAACTTTAGGGCAGCAGTCGCAGCAGAGCAGATCTCCTCCATTCAGACAAACAGCACAAAAATCTTCACTCTCCATCTCTTCAGTCCCACCTCCAGCTTCAGGCTGCTGGATGGATTGTTCTTGTGAGTGGCAACAATCAGGTCTCTGATCTTGACTGACGTCCATTTCAACTATTTCCACTTGACATTTAGTTTCAGATTCATCCTGATCTGCTTCTCTTTCTGCTTCTGCTTCCGGATCTAACTCAATCACCATAGTCTGCTCTGGATCTGGATCCAAATAAAAGGTTTCTGAATCAGTTTTCCCATCTTCAGATCCAGATTCAAACAGGATATAAGGCTGATCTGGATTAGATTCACAGTCCAAGCCTGAGTCCTGCTCTGGTTCTCCAGACACAGAGTCAGGACAGTACGGTTCAGTCCAGGATAAAGGTGTTATTTCTGTTTGACTGAGATCAGCTGACTGGGGTGATCCGTCTCTTATCTCCAAAATACCTGCTTCATTTTGACTGAATCCATTCTGTTAGTAGAGATTAGGACATAGAGGTAAAGAAAAGAGTAAAATAATCATAAAAATGAACTCGTGCTTATCTTTATTGTACATAAAAGTATCCAGACTTAATTTTTGTACCTGTTGAGGACAATTTAAAGACACATCATCGTAGAGCTGAGCTTGTGTTTGGTATGGCAGCCGTACCAGAGACACTACAGGCTGCAGACATGATAAGGACACAGACTGGAAGTTCAGACGTTCCAGGCTTACTACAGCTATGCAGGAATTACCCAGAATCCTCTGGTCCGCTGGGTGAATCCTGGAAAAATAAATAAAGATTTGGTGTTAGCAGAACATGTGTGTTATGGCAGGATCTGTTGTTGTTTCTGATCAGTGATAACGTTTTGGATTAGATTCTAATATTTCAGTTTAGTATTATGGCAAATGGTCTGCACTTATATAGCACCTTTTTCTACCTTAGCAGTACCCAAGGCGCTTCACAATGTGTTTCGCATTCACCCATTCGCACACCAATGCGACAGATCTAATCTGCCATTGGGAGCCCAAGAACACTTTGGCATGTGGGGGGGACCGGGGATCAAACCACCAACCTTGCCATCAGTGGACAACCCACTCTACTACCTGAGCAACAGCCACCCAACATGGACATTATAAATTCATGAAGGAAACATTTTCAGAGTCACATTATTTGTTGCAATGCACGAAAGTAATTAATAAGCTTTACATTTTTAAACTTAAAGAAAGTTAGAGAAAGTCAGGCGAGCCATCTACTCCTATGTTTATGCTCAGCTAAGCTAATCACCTCCCTGCTCCAATATAAAATAGCGTAAACACACGACATGACAGTGGTATTCATCTTCTCATCTCAGGAACAAAGAAAATAATATTTCCCCAAAAATGTAACTACTTATTTAATGTCATTGTGTTATCAAAGCATACTGCACTTGAGCTTACCTTATTTTCTTCAGTAAAGCGTTTATACTTTTGTCAGGATGCCTTTCCCTTTTTTCAGATGATGGAGAGGATGTTCTGGCTTCTCTGTTGCTAGACCGGTGTGACTCTTTTTCCATCTTAGAGAATTCAACACTGCAGAGCTATTTTTGTTTGTAAAGAAACAGAGACTTGGTGGCATTATCATCATACTAATATTTAGATTATTAACTTCTCTCTGAGTTTTGATCATCAAAGCCTTTTCAAACACTGTCTACATCTGTCTTACCTGTTCTTCCTGGGGGGTTTGCTCCTCTGTGGTGGTTGCCAGATTTGGATCAGTCTCAGATGACAAGGCCTCCGGCGCCAGACGTACTCTACACTTGGCTACCCGTGGCAACAGGGTGGCTTGCCTTTGTGGAAAGTTGCCATGGTGTCTGTGAGGAAAGCCTGCCATCTCCAGGAGATCAAGCCTCTTGGGGTCAGAGAAACAGCAGAGAAAACATAGAAGAAGCTGCTGTTCTGAAATCTCCTGTGTGCTCAGTGTTTGGCGGCAAAAAAAAACCTGAATCAAAACAAACAGAAAACCTCCAAAGTAAGAGTGGGAGAATCACTCGATTTACCATTTCAGGGTGATCTGACTGCTCTTTTGCACAAACATGTCTACATCTCAAACGATCAATAACACATACGAACACAATGTGTGTACAACATAACTAGTAACAGAAAATCACAATCTTGCAAGAACCAGGTTTAAGCTGAATCATAATAATATCGTACCTGAGTGTTAACCCAAGCAATGACAGGACAAGACGACTGCTTCAGAAATCCAGGTGAATGTGAGCTGTGTAAGAGAGAGACGGCACTGTTCCATGTGTCCAGTATCAAGGGGGACACAGATGGTCTGATTGGTGGAGAGCTGATTCAACCTCAGCCCCCTGACACTTCAGCTCTGTTCACTGCAAGCGAGTGCTTTGTAGTAAATATGTGTCAAGACTAATCACATGATGCTTCGATTTCAGTGGTGGGAGAAACATTCAGACTCTTTGCTTTGGTTAAATGACGATGATGCAATGTACAAAGACATGCAAACAAAGTCCCCACTTAAAGCTGTCATAATTAACATTTTCATGATAGCAACGCATCAGACTACTATATAAAAACAGTGTGACGATGTTAACGAGGTTTGTAGATTATTCTATACTTGTCATCTTCTTAAAAATGTTTATGCAACTTGATCTTTTGCAGTAGTTCTCCTCATGACTGTAATCAGACTTTGTCTTGTAAAATCAGTGAGTTCCACTTTAAAGCACTGAAAAACGAAAAATTCTGAATGAGAAGAATGTTTTTTGTGACTATTGTTCCATATTCTCTTATTCTTAACACCTGATGCATCAGTGTTTATGTTTTATTTTGCTGTTGTAGATAGTTTAGTCCAGACCTTCTTAACCTGAGTGCCAGGTCCTCCCTAACGACCAGAAGATAAATCTGAGGCGGTTAAGATGATTAATGTTTCTCTAATCTGTGTGTCATGGGTGGAAAACTTATAATTTTACCTTTTAAAAGCTGAAGTGTGGAACTCTTGCATATGAATGGACGTCTGTTATAAAGCCCTTGCCAGACGACTTTAAACAATACTGATTAAACTTATCAGCACCAAATAAATCTCTTGGGATTCCACAGTATACCGGAATTTTAAATCTGTTATCTGTGCACTAGTGCTTTCACACCAGTAGTAATGTGTTACGTCATCCAGCAATGATTGGGTTGTCAGAGCTAAAGAGGGCAGCAACTGCAGAGTAAGACCCAGAGTAAATTACAGCCACTAGGAACGTGGCAAAACCTATGTTAAAAACTTAAGAAGTGTCGAAAAAAACTTCCAGTTAAATAAAGTTTAGAGGTCAGCATAGGTCATAAAAATATGTCAGCAGAATTTGCGTTATCATGCTTACTGCCAGAAGGGAGAGACAAAAGTTCTGAAGGCTTAAGCGTCAAACAATATTTTCAATGAACCCATCAGAGAGGTTTAGAGCGGAGATCTCTCTTTGGTGAACTGCTCATGAACATGTCAAATATGACAAGGACCCACCAAGCATCACGCTTATCATATCATTTTTTATTTCATCATGTTTTCTATGTAAAATAGGAATTTGTAAACACACTAGTAACTTTAGTTCATACTGTAAATAAATAAGATGCAGTAAAATGATAAATTCTGAGAATTGTTATGGTGTACAAATGGCATGAAATGGAAACACCTCAAAACTATCCGTAAGTACAGCACTTGAGTAAATGTACTTAGTTACCATTCACCAAAGCATTACTTATTTTTCACAATAACATGAAGATTTGAAGTCCATGTATAAGACAATTGAAAAACGTATGCACACATACTTACATATCTATATAGATTTAGATATTCAAACATGTTAAATAATGTACGACATTCTTCAGGGATTGATTTAAGAAAAATTTCCTTACACAAGGCCATAAACCACCGAGGCTCTGCAAACCTGGCGCCGCTGTAGACGTTTGTCTTCAGTTGACAGTTAAAGAAGATCTCAGACAAACAGAGTTCCCTCCCTCTAATACTGACCAGTGATAAGTTGCATGCCATAAAGGTCACTCAGACTTTGAATAACAGACCTACTGTATGTAAATCAACTTTAACGTACTACTTTAACTTCCACTAACGTACTACCACAGCGACCTGCACAAAAGGATCTTCTTGCACATGATTTATGTATGCTTGCAGTTACACTTTCTAGTGTCTGCAAAATATAGAGCTAATATTTTCTTTAAAAAAACTAATCTCTTGTGCTGATGTCATTAAAACAGAGCAAAACATTTGCATTCTTTAACACATAAAAAAAGAATGTAGCTATTCACCACACATAAATTACGGACAGTTGTTGTGAAGTCAGAGTCTGAAAGCTTTAGCAAACCTGTGGTGTGCTCATGGAGGCTTTCAGACTGATTTGAAAAGATGAGAAGAGTTTAATTTCAGTCATAGCTGACCTGGTTTTCATTTTAAATCTAAATATTATATACAGAAATGCAATCCTGATGAGGGATCAAGGTCCAGTAACATTTCTTTTATATAATATATACAAAAAATACTAAAATAAGGCAAGTTGTGTGATAAAAGAGTGAGATTATGAGACTAACACAAGCATTCACCACTAAAAAGTCGACAGTTTTTTCTTTATTATTTAGTATTTAAACAAGTAAATATGCTCGGATCTAAATTAAATGTTGCTAATCGTGTTCTGTCCACATTCATTTTTAAATTGACACTAAACATAGTGATAAAACAGAAATATAGCGAGAAATCAGATATTTCAAATGCTTATTAAAACAGCTAATCACACATACATATCTTATCAGAAAAACAAGACAAGAGCTAAAAACATCTACGGTCCCAGCAAACAATATTACACACAATATCTAAGTTGTTGGTTTTTTTTTTTTTACAATTAATTCATAAATAAGCACGTAGTTTATTTTCACTTCTTATTGGTGTTGGTTGGCAAACAAAAAAGGCTATGCTCACTTTTTTTTGCATATATGTTACCAAACATTTATACAATTACAGTGATTAGCATGTAAATGTGAGATGAGGAAAACATGATGATGAGAAAAAAAATGTTATTATTAATATTATTATTATTATTATTATTATTATTATTATTATGTTTTGTGTAAGTTCTAAAGGTTTTGAGTTAAAGAAGAAAGTAACAGATATTTAAAATTTAAAGTATGTTATTTTACTCGGTGTAGCTAAGATATTTTCTGGCTATATACAAGCGTTTGGTTGTTTTTGTTTTCCCCGTACCCCAAAACGTTAACACGTTTTGACTCACAACACTATTTAATAAAATATGCCATGTTCGTAAGAGGAAATGTTCTATCATTTTAACCTAAACATTTCGCTGTCTCTTCTGTGTGAAATTCACTGACATTTAACTTCTGCCATCCATCACTGGGCGTCGCTGTGGATTTCCTTGCACTTTTTGTGCAGAGGCAAATCTCGCAGAAAACCGCGTGGTTTCCAAATCCCGTTCCTCTTTCAACTAGCCCTCAAGATGGTAGGTATTATCATGTATCTGTGTGCGTTGAAATTCTGTGAAATCTGTTCCCATCCTTGGTCATTCGTATAAAAAAATGCTTACCCGATGGTGTCTTGCAGTACAATCATCTCGTATGACCAATTGCTAGGTGTTATTACCGTGATTTATTGACATTATAGGGATTTGAGAGCGGTTCGTTGTGAGACAGCTCTGTTCCTGTGGGCCTGTAGTCAGCCGGCAGTTGTGGCTGTTCGCGTTTTACCCGCATATAGGAAAACATGTCATTGAGGTGTTAGCGGTAATAATGTTTTAAAATGCAGGAGTGCCGTGGAGTAACGTCCAAAGTGTTGTATGTGCTTAACATCGAAAGCCTGCCGGTATATGTGGCAGAATTAGCATTAGCTTCCTAGGATGCTAGGCAGCATGTAAGTGTTAGAAGATACTACGTGTTGTACTTCAGCTTGTCGGAGGGCAAAACGAGCATCTTTTGTCTGCTTTATTTCTAATTCTTTGCAGATTTGTGGCAGGGTTGACTGTCTAGCCTGTCAGTATTTAGCAGAGGCCATTTAGCTAGTCAGCTAGCTCCAAGAGCCAAGATTGAGAGCAAGTCAAGTCTTCCAAGTAATTTTAATATATATACCAACCTTTTGCTCACAGCCGACCAGGAAGACCAAGACCAGGAAGCTTCGAGGACATGTCAGCCACGGACATGGTCGCGTTGGTAAGTGTCAACATAACTCTGTTAAGGTCCAAGTGTTTTTACCTGATGAGCTTCGAGTCCCTTCGTATGGAGATGCAGCTAACATGAACTTGTCCACCTCACAGGCAAACACAGAAAGCATCCTGGAGGTCGTGGTAATGCTGGTGGTCTGCATCACCACAGAATCAACTTCGACAAATAGTAAGAGCCTCAAAATAATCCTGAGATGTGGATGTTTGGTTGGAGCAATGTGAATGCATGTGTGAATACAACAATTGAGCTGACACAAAGCCACATTATCTGTATTAAACAAATACTCGCTTAAGAATTTTTTATATATATATATATATATAGAATGGGTGCCACAGAATTTACTTACTGATTAGGAAATGAATGATGAAGTTAATTTTTCTGTGTTCACATTGTACATATGGACACTCTTAACACACCTTTTTCAGTAATACTCATATAGTGTAGTACATCCTCCTGTCAGTTATGGTTCATGTTTCTGTAGAGACTAGAGTCTCATCTTGACACACATTATTGTCTTGGTGTGCTTGAGTCCTCTTAGAGTAAAGACTGGTCCTATTCACCGACTGGCCTTCTCCATAGTCCAGTCAACCACATGGGCAGTTACAAACTGTTTATTGAGATTGTCAATTAGGAATTGGAGAAAGTAATTTGCAGTAACCTACTTCAAGCAAAGAAGTGTGATACACACTTTGATAAAGGACACTGGGCTTTCTAAATGAAGTATGTCTTCAGTTTAACTTAGTTCACTTATGTTTTACCTTAACATGATAAACACAATATTACAAGTTAGAACAAATAGTTGAATGTTAGTACAGAGTATACCAGTGTAATTTGGCAGCATGTTAAGTGGCAAAAATGAAAAGCAATATCAGTAAGCTAAAAAGATGTAATTGGCCAAAAAATCTGTATTTAGAGTAATAAGCATTTGTATGGTATAAAGTAGGAAAAAAAGCTTTAAAATATTTTTGGAATAACGCTTAAGAATTTGACCACTCGTTTATTGTTTTGTCAGTTCTATGGGGATCTCCAGTATAGCAATTTGTTTAGAAAATGTCTACTTTTTAAAAGCTCACAAACCTACCAATATGTCCAGAGGTCACTTGTTTCTGAATTCACTTTCTCGTTTCTGTATTTGTCCTCAGCCATCCAGGTTACTTCGGTAAGGTGGGTATGAGACATTACCACCTGAAGAGGAATACATCCCACTGCCCCACCATCAACCTGGACAAGCTGTGGACCCTGGTGAGCGAGCAGACCAGGCTCAACTACAGCAAGAAGCCCGAGGGACCTGCCCCCATCATCGATGCTGTGCGCGCTGTAAGTGCTGTCAATATTACCAACATAAAAATGTTGTCTGACACATCTTTGTTATTTGGAAATGGCAGTTAGGGCTTCGCAGAACATGGATGATGAAAATGTTTCTCTACATAAATAAACTACTACATTCTTTAAAACGTTTAACAACAACTTGCTAGTTGTTGCAGGTTCACTTGCAGGGGCCTTTTTGTTTGAGACTTCCAAAAAAATAAGTCTGTCTTACAGACATTTTAGGGATGCAGTTAGTTCATGTACATGAGAGCATTTTCCTTTTCTACTGCTCACCGCTTAGTACAGTTGCCACATTCATTCACGGCGGTAAATGAAATCCCACATGACGGATTAGGGACAAGTTTGGAAAAATATAAGTGTACATGTTGATAAAGCAATTTGAGATTTGTTGAAACGTATCTTTACTTTGGTTGGATGATAAGTCCCTGCTTGTGGTCATGATGCAAAGCTAGGCTAAGTTAAGTCTAATGTGTACTGTATTGCACAGAAACAACTGCACTGGTTGGCACAGGAATCTTCCAAATATGGTTTAGAAACCGGTGTTTGTCAGTAGTTTGGATTCCTGAATTTTTAGCACCTACAAATTGCATTTTGACCCTGATTCTATGTTGGACTAATTGTACCTCAATTTCTTAACTGTTCAGTCTGTAAAATGACAATAAGGAAACAGTAAACGTTGCCATACTTTATACTGAACCACAACTGAACTGCAGTGAATGGAAATGAGGCATCTGTAATCCAAACTTGGTTTTGTCAACATGTTTAATTGAATAGAAGTAGTTGTCAGGGTTTTATTTTTCTTTTATATCTAAGTTCTGTTGAATGTTGATTAATTGCGATGCTGGATTATGACCAGAGAATCACTGCATCTTGTATTCAGACTTGAAGTTGTTGTTCGTTACACATTGCCTTTTTAATTTTTTAGATATCACTGGCTGCATTTTCTATTTCTATGTGGGTTTTTTGCTTTTTGGGGGGGGTATGTGTTGACACACTACATTCCAACTTTGATTCCAGTGAATCCTCACTCTACCATTAACATTTTAACTTCAGCTTTTTTTTTTTTTTTTGGATGTTAAAACAATGAAATATAGTTTTCTGTAGTTTTACCAGATAAAGTAATGTTCTTCATTGATGTTTTTAACTTCACAGGGCTACTACAAAGTTCTGGGCAAAGGCAAGCTGCCCAAGCAGCCTGTGATTGTCAAGGCCAAGTTCTTCAGCCGACAGGCCGAGGAGAAGATCAAGGCAGTGGGAGGAGCCTGCGTCCTGATGGCATAATGCTCCTGTCAGTGTTTTTGCAAAAAATAAAGTGTATAAATGGAAACTACATGTTTGTAATTTCTTTGGAGTAAAGAAAAGTCTCGACCACTGTTTGTTTTTGAAAGTTTCTTCTAAGTCTTCAATTTGACTTTGAGGTAAGGTAACTGTGGGAACTTGAAAATGGTGGCAGTGTATCTTGATCAAATGAAAGACACCTGGGAGGAAAGAAAACATTCAATACATTACATCTTGTCAGGACACCATGAGGTCAACAAAGGTGCTGATTCTCATCAGCTTTTGGCTTGTAGCTCGTGAAAGCTGCCAGAGACCCTTTACTAGGTGTTGCCTAAACAGTCTAAAAATAAGTGCACAGATTTCCTTCGCTTGTTTTCAGTACTAAATAGTTTTATATGGCTGAAGATGTGAAGCAAGATTTGCTTTACAGGACCAACAGATGTGCATTGCTAAAAGATGACCCCTCAGACTACTGATCAGATTATCATCAGTGGTAAACTATCATTTACTTACCATTTTAAAGCATTTCCTTTTCTTAAGCTTTTTTAGAAAAAATTTTGTACATCTCTAATCCATTACTTACCAGAGGGAAATATTGAGCTTTCTGTTAAGGGTTAGGATTTTCCTTTTAAATACACTGCTCAAAAAATACACCTAAACAATGTAACAGCAAGTCAATCACTCTTCTGTGAAATCAACCTGTCCAGTTAGAAGCAACACTTACTATGAATCAGTTTCACCTGATGTGCAAATGGAACAAACAGCTGGAAATGAGAGGCAATTAGCAGGACAACCTCTATAAAGGAGTGATTCTGCCGAGTGACCACAGACCATGTCTCTGTTCTCATCCCTTCTGGATGATAATTTGGTCATTTTTGCATTTTGTCAGTGCTCTCACTCCTAGAGGTAGCATGAGGCAGTGTCTACAACACACACAAGTTGCAGCTCATCCAGGATGGCACATCAATACGAGCTGTGGCAAGAAGCTTTGCTGTGTCTCTCAGCACAGTGTCCAGAGCATGGAGGAAATACCAGGAGACGTGGAGGGGGCTGTAAGAGGGCAACAGCCCAGTAGCAGGACCGCTGCCTCCTCCTTTGTGCAAGGAGGGCCAGGAGGAACGCTGCCAGAGCCCTGCAAAATGACCTCTAGCAGGCCACTAATATGCATGTTTCTGCTCAAACTGTCAGAAACAGACTCCATGAGGGTGGTATGAGGGCCCCACGTCCACCAGGGATGCTTGTGCTTACAGCCCAACAGCAGGAAGATTGGCATCTGCCAGAGAACACCAAGATTGGCAGCTTCACCATTGGTGCCCTGTGCTCTTTACGGATGAGAACAGGTTCACAGTGAGCACATGTGACAGATATGTCAGAGTCTGGAGACACCGCAGAGAGCGTTCTGCTGCCTGCAATATCCTACAGCATGACCGGTTTGGTGATGGATCAGTAAAGGTGTGGGGAGGCATTTCTATGGAGGACTGCACAGCCCTCCATGGGCTAGCCAGAGGTACCCTGACTGCCATTAGGTACTGGGATGAGATCCTCAGACCCACTGTGAGACTATGTGCTGGTGCAGTGGGCCCTGGGTTCCTTCTGATGCATGACAATGCTAGGCCTCATGTGGCTGAAGTGTGTCAGCAGTTCCTGCATAATGAAGGCATTGATGGTATGGACTGGCCTGCCCGTTCCCCAGACCTGAATCCAACTGAGCACATATAGGACATCATGTCTCGTTCCATCCAACAACACCACGTTGCACCACACACATGTCCAGGGGTTGACTGATGCTATAATCCAGGTGTGGGAGGAGATCCCTCAGGAGAACATCCTGCCTCATCAGGAGCATGCCCAGGGGCTATGAGGAGGTCCTACAGGGACGTGGAGGCCACACACACTACTGAGCCTCATTCTGACTGGTCCGGAGGAATTTCCACTGAAGTTGGATCAGCCTGTAATGTGATTTTCCACTTTTATTGAGTATGATTCCAAATCCAGACCTCTGTGGGATAACAATTTTTGATTTACCTTGATCATTTTTTATGTTATTTTGATCTCAACCCATTCCACTATGGAATGAATAAAGTTTTGCAACTAGAATATTTCCTTCATTGAGATCTAGGATGTGTTATTTTAGTGTTCCCTTTATTTATTTATTTTTTAGCAGTGTATTTTAGTCTAAATACATCTGAAGTCTGGACTGCTAAGACAAGAACTGTCAATCTGAAGTCAGGACAGTTTTGATAGGTGGTCTGACTACCTTCTGAACTCTGAACTAACCAGCAAGTTGAATAATGGAGAAAAGAATGAATTCTTAATGAAAAGGATTAGGAGTTGCTGTCTTATACAAAAAAGTAATAACATGTTATGATTTAAAGCATTAACAGTCACAAAACTTTTTTTTTTTTTTTTTTTTTGAGTATGCTGATATATTAAATGCATGATTCTCAGTAGTAAATGACTGTTTTTACTGTGGATGTATAGCTTACTGATCTGGGGACTTTCTCCTCCACTGTGGGCGGAGTCTAACCTGCAGCATTTCCTGTCCTGTCATTTGAAAGCAGTTCTGCTACGTTCAGCCTGAGAAGCTTCAAGTTGGCAGCTGAACGAGGAAAATGTGAGGAGTTCACACTGACAGGTAACTATATGAAGCAGCATAGACTTCTCTGAAGAACTGCACTTATTTAACTGTTTATTTAGCTGTTTACAGCAGCCACAGAAGGTGCTGAAAAGGTAAACAAGTAAATAATCTCTTCACGAGAGATTTGTTGACGCTGCAGACAGCACTGAGGTTGTTGTGCGGACGCAGTGACAGACTGCGATTTGAATTCCTCTCTGTGTTTGTCGGGAGCTCAGAGAGAAACGGTTCTAAGTGTTAAAGTATAAAGTAAGTTGTTTTTCTGAAGCAAATGATATAAACCAGCTGCTTCCTAGTGTGACTTCTTAAGACGCTAAACTGTGCGCATGCGCGGTTTTCAATGCCCCATTCAATGGTACTAAACATATTGATGATTGTTGACTTATTTTTAGAATTACAATAAAACTACCACGCCACCAACATTAGAAAAGGTTTGTGTTGGTTTGCGTGTCTAATTAAACCATCAAACAAATTCTTAGATGTTATGTGGACACATTTATATTATCCCAAATATCAGATTTTATTGTTTTGCATCTTTGCTTGTATCAAATTATGGCTGCAACTGTTTTTGTGATCTGTTAATCTGCCCCAGATTTCCTCAAGTCAATTGCAAAATGTAAACACTAAAAAATGACAACAAAGAAGTACAAAGTTCCAAGTATAAATTTTTTGGAGCCACAGGTGATGTTTGTCTGCTTAAACTGTCATGTAAGACTAATCGAAACACAAAATAGTCATTTGACAAAGCTGGATCCACAGGGCATTTTGGCATTTTTGTCTTAAAAATGTCTCATAATCAATAATATTGTTGCAGATGTTTAATTATTTGTTGATTTATTGATTTATTTTTTTGGCTCTGTAGCAGATCATTAGAAGAGACAGGTATATTTGGAATCACACTCTGTTGGATGGTACTGTGACATAAAGGAATGAAGGAAGGAAAGGTAGCTGGCTGATGGAGTTCTCTTTGCTTGTTCCTCCACTCAGGGGAAGGTCACCGAAATTTTTACTTGATATGTTCATGGCAAACCAAGCCTGGCTGGAGTCTTCCCTGCGGCGCTCTGGCAGTCTGGGCTTGGAGGTGCTGGAGCGCGCATCCAGGCGGAGTGTGGACTGGACAAGCACTGATGCGTCCCAGAGCCCCACTACGACAGACGAAGATGCACATATAGCTGTCAAGGTGCCTGCATGTGTTTTTATACATAAGTCTGATTTCAAACAATTGATTTTAAATGTTTTTTCTCAGTTACAATTCTCTTACTTTTTCAGAAGACCTGCCCAGAGCTTGATGAGGCCTTTGCAACCATCACAGAGTTCATGGCACAGACGACCTATCACTGCAAGGTTAGTGAATATTTTTCATTTTTCATGTGTCAGGCTGCATCCCTGTGCCAGCTTTCAGCTACACACATGGAAGATTAAAATATAGTTGTTGTTTTTTTGTTGTTGCTTGCTGCAGAGGTTTTACGAGTCTGGCTGTTGCTCTGAGCCCAGTGACACTGAAAAAAAACACATGTCCAGGTTCCACACACGTCCAGGAGCTGGGAGGATACCACCCGCACTGCCAACCAGGAAACATGTAAGAGTAGCAATAATAATGTGCTGCTGCTTTAAAAATCATATAAAGCTTTCGTCTCTCTCATCTGTATTTTTATCTTAAGGGCCGTGTGTCAGCAGCAGGGGAAGATTTTTACATCGAGGTTTCACCTGGAACGTACGCTGTCACTGCCAGTATGCCGGAGTCCCACCAGCAGACTCAGCTGGTCAGTGTTAAAGCTGGGGAGAGTATCAACCTCAGCTTCAACCTCTGACCCCTCACCTGTCCAAACCAGCCACCCTTAACCGTCAATAACATAACTGACCCATGCTGGTAATGTTTACATGTTTCTTTTTTTATACATAGATTTTTGCATGAAGAGTTTTATTTTTGCTATTAAAATGTTAATTTGCTGCATATTGAGAAGCCATATTTCTATTGCATTTTAGATGTGTTTTATTTGGATTGTGTGTCATAATTTTGCTGGACAGCATCATGTAATGCACTTAAGAATGCTTTTACCTGCACTAATACCGCTTCAGTATAATAAAATAAAATATTTTTTAAAATACATTTTTTGTTTGCTTTTTTTCCCCACCATAATATACACATGTGGTTGTGTTTTGCCAAACGTATGCTGACATTTATGTGTGAATGGTAGTGGCCTTGTTTCCGGTGAAAGACTGCAGTCCCACTGGTGGTCGAGGTTTGAAGTGTGTCATTCCAAAAACATCTCTGATGTTGCCTCTTCTTTCTTTACTACCAGAAAGTGACTGAAAGAGGGAGCTGTGATTTGGTGAGGTGCTGATCTGTGGGACAGAGAAGCTGAACCTGAAAGGTTGTGATGACCTCCTGGGGGGTGCACTCCCTGCGGACAAAAACAGAAATATATGCAGTTTAACACAGAACTCTTGCATGTTTGATGATTATGGATTAAAATGATTATTTTTTTCTATTTTCTATAAAGATGGTAGCATTGGTAATACTTTTTGACAATCTGATATCATGACAGCCCAAGACAGTACTATAAATTACATTTAGAATTGCTATATGTAGGCATAACATTCCCTTTCTTTGTGCAAAAATATGACCATTGATCTGAAAAATGGTTGGAGTTGCTTAGTTGCCACACACATTAATGTTATTGTTATTATCACTATTATTGTTTTTTCTCATTGTGATTAATGAAACAAATCAAGTCATGGTGGAGACGAGCAGTTGTGTTTCTCAGAATTTAAATTAAATTACAATCTGTCCTTTTACTGTAATACAAAAAAGAAGACAACATCGTCATGTTTTGAGGCATTATTACAACTACTGACAATCCAACTGAACAAACAGGTTCATAAAGCAAGGTAGAGTTCTCTGATTTCTGGCACTCAAGTACATGGTGACAATGAAAAATACTTTTAAACATGTCACATGAAAGCAACATAAATTTAACTTGTTAGTATGGTAGACAGGTGTAGGACAAAATATGGTTATACGTATATGTATGTGTATCCCTTCCTGTTTTAATACACTACCAGTACAATACACTGTCATCAAATAATATTTTTGTTAAAACATTCAGGCACTCTAGATGGATTCCCATGACCAATTTGATGTGCCAGTGTTACGACTTCATGACTCTTCGTAGTGGCACTTATCAAATGAATGGTAAACAGAAGTTAAAGGGCTTCTGTACAACATTCCGAACTGGTGGATGTCAGATGATTCCTCTGTATGCTGTCACACCTCTCCTTTCCCTTCACTTTCATCTACAACCACAAAAACTGTGTACATGAGAGCCAACAAAAAAATACAGCAACAACTGTTAGCCCACAAGTTGTAACATTATCTTTGCTTCGCCTGTTTTTTCTCCGCTCATATCTGTTCCGCTCCATGTGTGTCTGTTTCTACAGTCCTTTAGACCAGAGTCGACTATATGTGTTTAAACAGAGCAGGTCCAAACAGACACGAGCAAAGAGGGAGATGAAGAGGACCGACTCAAAAATAGAAGTAGAGATTCACACACTGAGCTGAAATTTAACCAGAGTACCTAAATTATGTAGGTAAATACCAAATAAAATACTTAAGTCTTTTAATTCTTTGGTTGTACAGGGTACCGGCTGAACACTGGCCTGCTGGAATGACACTGTCCTCTTGTTTTGTGGTCTGAAGCAAGCAATTTACCTAGTAATCATATCACAACTGCAAAATACACTACAGCTCTCAGCAAATGTCTCATTTATTCAGAGTACCTTTACCTCTTTGTACTGAGTACCTCTTAGATTGGATATTGCACTCAGCTGTTAATGTTTAAGTGCTAATAAACATTTAGCACATTTTATTTAAACCTATTTGATGACTGGTGGTTTAACACTGCAATGAACAAGCTGAGTCTGTATCTGTTTCTCACCTGGCTGTCTGTGCTGTGGTTCTGGCCCGGTTCTTCTCCAGTACTTCCAGGGAGGACGCTGTTGTTTACTGTTCAGCTTCATGGCAGGAGAATTCGATGCTCTGGTTTCATCCTCAGAAAGAGAAGAAGAAGAGGAGGAGGAGGAGGAGGAGGAGTCGTCTTTTCTCACATCTGCATTTCTGAGATTCACCTGCTTATGTTGCTCTGCCCTGTCAAACCTATCGCTTCCTCCGAGACTGGCCCTGCAGCTGTGTGGAGCTATGTAGGGCCAGCGGTTTGAAACTGAACAGCAGCAAGAAGCAGACGCTGACTGGCAGCAGTCAGTGCAGAACATCTGGGGAGTGCAGGAGGAGCTGCGGGCACAAAGCCGACTGCAATATGGACTTGGAGCTGGTGTTTGGATTTGAAGTTCCCTGACTATTCTGTCGTAGTGAGAAGCTGAAACAGGCAAAACCAGGCTGCCAGGAACCAGAGACACACAACTGTTCCACATCAGCACCCGGAGGCTTGTAACAGCATCAGCTGTAGGAAAGAGGAAGGAGACATTAGAATTACTGACAGTGGTGGATCAGTCATCACATGAATAATAATTTCAGTAAATACTCTCCTGTTTGAAGGTTTTTGAAGTTTCTTAGTATAATTCTTGACTTTAGGGTAAAATATCCTGAACTGTGGACCTTAATCCACATCACTGAATATAGTTGTAAAAAATGCTACAGTAATGTTGTTCTACCTCTAAAACTATCTCTGTGCTCTGTGGCTGCAATCACTCGCCCTGGACCAAATCTCTTCAGGTTTGGTTCCCACGGCGACAGCACAACATCTCCAGGTACGAGACAGTGTGACTGAGCCCTGCTGTCGTTGACCATGTCGAGTGAACAAACCAGCTGGCACTTAGAGGAGACAACACCTGAACTAACACTTCCTGGATGGTCAAACTCGATCATCCAAACTCCCCTGCGGCCCTGGGTTTGCACACATGGAAGGAAGATGTCAACACAGTGTGTAAATATTAAATGGCATGTTATCGGTTAAGGATTTGAAACCTATACGGTATGTGATCACACAGTATTTTCCACCTGTACTTGCTGTATCACAGTGGCCAAGTAGTAAAGACCATCCATCTCTCTCCTGGCCAGCACTCTGCATCCTGGAAAGAACTGTGGACCAGCCAGGCTCTGACCAGGCAGCATGCACGAGGTAAACGGATGAAGCTGATTACCCAGACTACACCTGGGAAGTACAAAGTCAACCAGTGTGGAATCTTGTGTTATTTGAATGTCACACAAAAACAGCATCTGTTTTGGTAACATCGATAGTGCACTGTTAAAAACCCAACCTGAAGAGGGATGAAGGCGTGTGGTGACTCCAGCAACACTTGGCTGGAGAGACAGTTGGTACTGATGATCGGCTCTTAGCAACATACAGAGGAATCACCTGGCAATATCCAAAAACAGACAAACACAGACTCATTACTTTTTCTCATGAATGCTTTTCTCATTAAACACTTTACTATACAAAGTGCAAAGTACTGATGGACTGAGGTCCCTGACACTCTTTTGTGGATGCATCTCTTTTAAAGTCTGACTTCAGATGCAGTGACCTATACTGTGTGAGCAGGTCAGTGTTCAGATCATAACGAGATCACAGTGAAAGTGTAGATGTTATTATTCCTCAAAAGGATTTAAACTGTTTTTTGTTTGTTTTTTGTTAGCTTGAAAGGTACAATTCTGGATTTGGCAACAAAGTCCTGCAATGTTTTCCAGAATAATCCAACAATTCACCCATACTTTTTCCAACACTCCATTCAAATCAAATGGAATCATATAACAGCTCCCTCTTGTGGACTGGGTCAGACACTGCAGGTAGTCTCTGGCGTTTCTGTCCAGCTCACTGCCTGAGTCCTGCAGGTAGAAAATGTTCACTGGCCTCCCAGCAGCCAGGCCAGGCAGGGCTCTTAGCAGGGCCTCTGGCTGCTCGAGGAGGTCTGTGCAGAGCAGGTGGATGGCCTGACAGAGGGGGTTAGTGAGAGCCACACTCAGGGCAGCCAAGAGATCCCTGCCAGGGCTGCAGCTGATGGAGTGAATCCAGGACAGAGCTGTGTATACCGTGTCTGGAGCACAGCCACGCATGTGTGGGGACCAGCAGTTCACCTGGAAAGTTAAAGAGAGGGTTAGTAACTTCAAGGAACAGTACATTTGCAGCTTAAAAAAAGGCCTCAAAAACTAAAACACAGTGCCTAAACAAAGACAAGGATATAATCTTTTCTTTTTATTTATTTTTTAAAGTACAACAAGACAATTCAAGCATACATGTACATATTGTGAAGTACAGATAATGAAGTTATTTACTGCTGAGTAAATCTTCTGTTCATTTACTTGGTTTGGCAATCCACCCAGAGCATCTCATGATAATATCTGAACTTCATTGTGTGGATTTGTGACTCCCAGGTGATCATACGTTATGATTTTGGCAAGTTTCTGACTTCTCATCAAGTTTAATTTTCAGGTCAGATTCTTTTCTATTATAAATCACATTTGATCCAAAGATGTGGAGTCAATTCATCAGATATGTGTGAGGGAAACCTGCTGAGATCAGGTTAACTAATGCTGGAAGGAGACTCCAATGTCATATGCAGAAACATTTGCTGCAGTTGTCATGACCCCCCAGCCTCAGCTCCAGTCCTTGCCTATCTCTCTGTTTTTCTCTGTCTCCCTCTCTTCTCCCTCCTTCTCTCGACCTCTTTCCTCCTTGCTCACCCTCTCAGTCACTCCAGCCCTGCTCAGCCTGCCTGATTACAAGTATTGGAGACAGCTGTGGTAATCAGCTCACCTGAGCCTAATCACCACAGCTCCTTTAAAAACCTGTTAATTCCACCACACCCTGCCAGACCATAGATCTCCCCTGTGGTCCTGCTACTGGTCCTCAACCTGTCTCCAGCCTGCATTCCGAAAGCCAGCCTGTACCTGGCTCCAGCCTCGCTTCAGATTTTCCCAACCCTTGCCAGATCCCAGATTCCGCTGCTGCCCAGATACCGTGCACCAGCAGATTCTCCACCCAACCCTCACTCCCCCCAGAGCCCACTGGTCTTTTCCCTCCACATAGTAACATGAGACTGAACGTTGATATCCACGTTCCAAGAGAGAATAAATCCAAGTCTTTTTTTTCTTTTTTTTTTTTTTTTTAATATATACAAAAACATAAATGATCAGATTGCAATAAAGTCATCCTTCACCTAATATTTTTCATATTCCACAGAAGACAAACCTTTGAGCTGTCTTTTTGTACATTTCTAGAGCCAAAGTGAAGATCTTATTCAGAAGATGTTGGGGCAAATTGGTATTGAGTGTGTTGAGTCCATTCACACTAACAAAAACTTTTGATAATCAGACTCTAGTGTCTCCTTCATCCAAAATATCCATCCATTATCTATACACCGCTTAATCCTCACTAGAGTCGTGGGGGGCTGGAGCCTATCCCAGCTGACTTAGAGCGAAAGCAGGGGATGATCTGGACAGGTCCCCAGTCTATCACAGGGCTACACTAACAGACAGACAACCAAGGAATTTAGATTCACCAATTGACCTCAACATGTTCTTGGACTGTGGGAGGAAGCCGAAGAACCCGGAGAAAACCCATGCTGCATGGGGAGAACATGCAAACTCCACGCAGAAGGATCCCGGGCTGTCTAACTGGGACGCGAACCAGTGATCTTCTAGCTGCAAGGCAACGGTGCTAACCACCAAGCCACCTTGCAGCCCATCCAAAATATCTCCAACAGATAACCAGAGTTACTATAGAGAGCTGCTGTGCTCTGAGATCTAAGTTACTGTCAATGTTTGAGTTGTGATGAGCTGTCTGTCCCACCTTACCTGGCTTGAGAAAGTCACAATGTTGAAGAGCGAGTCCCTGAGGGAAGCTTTCGTCAGCAGGGTCTGGATCAGCAGGCGTTTTACTGAGCCCAGAACAGCTCTCATGTTGTCCGAACTGTCCAGGACAAAGGTAATATTGCATCGCTGTTTGCCCAGGAACAGGGGAATCAGTGCAGCCTCAGAGGCCTGCGTCTGCCTTGATGTCATCCTAAGACTGTAAGAATGTGGATTTGTATCATTTTCTGCCTTTTTTGTATCAATTTATATCAATAGTGAGCATAAAAGAGAGAGGGAGAGGAAATAAAAACGTCTGAGCCATATTTTGGCCAAAGCTGACATCTGCCATCTATTTGTTTTCAACTAAACAGTAAATGGTAAAGAGCAGATTGGTGTTCACTAGCTTTAAGTAGAATTTTTGACTACATTCAAACTCCATCCATTATCTATACACCACTTAATCCACTGTAGGGCCCTGTAGGGAGGGCTGGAGTCTATCCCCGCTGACTCTTTCACAGGGCTACTAGATTCAAACTCTTTAAATTAAACAATCTAGGAATTAGTATAAGAATTTTTTATTAATAAAGTATCGGATCAAAAGTTTTTATTGAAAAAATACTTGTAGTTTCAAAAGCATAATTACTTAAAATGATGTAGAATGTCCTACTTAATAAGGCTTATTATTAAATTAGAATTAGACATATTATTGTGCAAACAACTTGGATTTTGCAGATAGTGAAGGTTAGGCTAATATTAATTAGCTTATATACATCTTCATATCCTGCTGGGTAGCAGATTAAAGAAGTCTTATGTTGACTCTTAACAATATAGCACAACATATTTATTTATGTTTAGTTTTATTCATCTGAATCTAGAAAGTAACCAAATAATTGCAGTGGAGCATGAAGTATTGGAGATGGAAAGCAAAGTGCCTCTAAATTGTACAACACTTGAATAAATGCATTAAATTACATTCCAGCACTGAAACTGAGCCATCACAAATGTGCTCAGAAGCACAACACACGAGTCTTTTCTTGTTTACTCGCAACTGAAGCTAACACACATTTATCAGACAGAGTACATTACCTACAGTTCTTGTGTCGCTCCAAGTCAGCTGAAGACGACAACTTCACCTCACTGTTGATGCTGGTTTCCATGGAGAAATGCTCAGGACTGAGTCAGTGTTCTTCGTGGCCACTGGAGGGGCTCTTCACCTGCCCATCAGTTGCTCAGGGTGCGTTACCAAACAGTACTGTCACGCTGCATGTCATGTTGTATGGTTCAGCCAGACATGAAACTGGTCCCTGCTGGTGTGTCATGACTTTTCTCCTGCTAACCTTCTTTAGTTTCACTTCTAATTAACAGCTTTAATTATGTCAGTCTGCCTTTAGCTGCACCCAGTTTCAAAAATGGCTCTCGGATTGAACAGTGCAGGGACGCGTTATGTAAGATTTTCTGAAGGGCTACATTTAATCTGAAGAATTGAACAAAGACGGAAAAAGATGTCACATAATTTGCCATTTTATTCTCTATTCAGTGCCGCTCTTTTGCTACCGCTACGTGATAAACATATCACAAGTGTCACCAACATTCTGTAAACATTAAAAGGCAGTGACCTCAATGCAAATACATGTTTTGGACTAGAAAATACATTTACAATATTATAAAATACAGTAGATAAACAGGGAATTTGTAGATTGTGCTAAACTCATCAACTACACAACCTCCAAATGTGTTCTCCGCGGCTGATTTCCAGCTATAAATGCAGAATACTATGTCTGGCAGAACAATATGGATTTGCAGGATACAAGAGCTATAAATCACAATTCTATCAGAATCTTAAAGGCTACAGCACTACAGCTTTTGTTTACTACCTGCACAGCACGTACTACTGTAGTGACAGCTAATACGAGACACTCTGGGCTACAAGGATGCCGATGCTACATGAGGAAGAGCTAGTGTGTCAGCAGCTGCATTTACGTAAAAATCCGTGAAGTCATTGTGGAGTATCTGACTCCTAAATGCAACAAACAGACTAGCAGAGAGAAAGTGAGAGTATGTGAGGTGAGAAATCGGAAGTTCCCCAAAGAGGCATCTATTTGTAAGAGTAAATCTTTCTATTGCTTCTGCTCAGCATGTGTGATGGGAAGATCAGTAATCCAGGTCTCTGAAGTCAGAGGAGCTGCTGTGAAAGGAGAGAAAAAGAAGCAGAAAAGCTTTGGTTAGAAAAAATTGTAGAATATCTGGTTTCCCCAACTTCCTGTGCAAGTTACTTTTTACATGTTCCATTTACTTGTTTATGAGTGAAAATATTTTGCACTGAATTCCAACATCTCCAAGCTATGCATAACTTTATGTCCAAAGGCTTAAAATATGCAACAAAAAGTCACAGGGTTTTGTGCAACACACTCACTTGTACCACTGATATTCCTATTACACCTGCATATAAATAAACTGAGTGAGGTATAATTCAGGGTGAAAGTAAGAATACATGCATTCACTCAAAGATGAAATGGTACAATAACCTACCTACCTTTCATTTAGTGGCTTTTTGGCAAACTGAACTTGCTCCCTCATGGTTGTCCCAAACACCAGCATTTGCTTGTCAGTGTCGATTACAGACTTCAAAACAGAATACCAAAATATTACACATTTACACTGATATTCTAAGGATATCTTCTTTTTTTTATCACTGCATTGCTGATGAGATGTAAATGTTGCCCCTGGGATTGGATGACTGTGTGTAAGTCAGAGGCTGTGGTGGGGGATTAGGTGATTTACCTTGAGTGCCTTTAAAGTCTTGCTGCCCAGGGACAGGAATGGCTTGTTACTCTCTAAAAATGGACAGCAATATGATCACATCGGTACATAAAAATGTCTTTGTCATTTATACTCATGTATAGACGATTCTCTTTCTTACCCACTATTGCAAATGAACACATTATCCTGAGTTGTCCGATGGTCAGGCTGAGCTCCTTGATGCGACCATCGATGCAGAGTTTACGCTGAAACGGAACACCGTCCATCTCCATTTTGTTCTCTTCAATGTATTCTTTCAAACTTGGAGAGAAATAAAAAATAAATTAGCAGTTATCTCTCCTCTAGCCATCAAAGTGTTTTCATTGAAGAGCCTTTATTATGTTTTGTCAGTTTTGGCTCTCGTTTATAAAGCTGCTTTTTGTCCATGTATAAACTCTGCAAATTACAAAGACCACAGCAAAGGGACAGCACTGCTTCTTATCTGCCTGAAATACTTCATTTGAAGTCCAGGCTTTTCTTCTGTTACTTATCTAACTTACTAATTATGAAAATGTCTCTATATGCAAATGCACTCTTCACACTGATAACGTTAACTTTACAGTTGCTTTCAAAAGTATGCAGAGGACCAAGCAATCAAGTAAATTCCTGCAGAAAAAAAAAGTGAAAGTGAAATGTGCACTGAAGTACTGCTGCGCTCATATCTGCAAGGATTTAGCGCTGATCTTAATGATGAGTTGCTCCAGCCCTGGCTAGATATGAAAATGCATGTACACACTGTAGTGCAATAATTCATTTATGGTTTCTTTTCACATCCTTTACTTCTCTAGTTCTGTGTGTCATCATATATTATTGCATTACTCTTCCTGTTGTTTAAGGCTTTTGCTGGTTTGGTTTCACAACAACGCTAGGGGTGGACTACATCGACAGAGATCTGTGGTTATAGTATGTAACAAGCATTGCCTCATTTTCATCTGGACAGCTGACCAATCAGAGCAGACTAGACTTTCCAGAGGAGGCCTTAAAGGGACAGGAGCTAAAATGGGGCGTTTCACAGGCGAGAAAAGAGGCAGTGCAGTAATGTACACATGAGAAAAATATGTATGTACACATGTAAACATGTTTTAACAAACCCTTTTAATATGAATGAAAATGTGCATAATAAGGGCTCTATAGGTAAAGTCAAATGGACAAATTCTGAAAATGTGCAATCGTCTCACCCTAGCCTCCCCACAGTCAGTGAGGACATCAGGTTCAGCCGGCAGCCTGTATCAATCAGCACGTTCAGCTCACGTCCCAAACACTGCCAGTGCACAAAGGAGGCAAGATGGAGAAAATAAAATCACTGGAGCAACAGAAGGTGTTGCAGAAGTGCTCACACCTTTTGTATACAAGACATCTTCTCAATACCAGTTGAAAATACACACAAACACATGAAGCCAATGTAACTGACTACAACAGTGACGTCATAGCAGCAGCATACATGTGTAAGGTGATATCTCTAAGTGGCTTCTCCCACCCACCTTGCAGGGCACATGGATCAAATCCTCATCCTCTTCCTTCTCATCCTCATGTGAATTTAAATTCTTGCAGTTCAGAAGGATTCCTCCACCGGTGGGCGTGACTCCACACATGTTCATCCTGCCTCGGGTCAGCTTCGCCTCCAGCAGGCGCTTCTGGAGGATATTGTGTGGCTGCTGCAGGAGAGAAGATATAAGCATGAATAAAAGGAACTCATCAATGTGGAGCTTAGAAACAGGTTTATAATGTAAGGTAACACTCCCATTATAGTATTCATACAGCTCAAGCATCTTCTGGCAAATTGTGTGAAAATATTGTGTTACTTCTAATGTATACATCAATTTGACATCATGTATTATTCTCCTGATGTCATATAGGTTATTCCTCTGTATTATTATACAAGCTATAAATCAAAATAATATATAATGATACTTGAAGGAATATGACATTTTGGTAAATTAAACAAGATGCAGTGACTCTCCTGTCATCATAAGTAGTTTAATCTTGTGTGACAAAGCCTGTAATATACATGTATATAATAAAGGTGTCTGTTTGATGTAAGGCCTTTCTTGTGAAGCTCACCCCCTGTTTAGACGTCCCGAGTTTCTTCAGTCCATCCAGAGGCAGCAGATCAGCCGAGTCTTTATGGAGGAACTGGATGGCTTGTTTGAGCCTCCTCTGCTGCCTCAGAGCCGCAGCATCCAGGACCCCCGAGTCCCCCCGATCCTCCGTCCGCATCCCCGAGAACATGTCGGCGGCTGTGAGAGTGAGAACCAGGCGGTGCGTCCGAAGGTTTAAGTTCTCCACCTGCGCTGCACACTGCTGGTCTAATGAGGGATCCCCAGTGCATGAAGCCCACTAGAGGAGAGGAGACTCCCCCATCATGACGGCGCAGAGGACGTGGTCAAGCCAGACGTGTTAGAATACCACTTCCGGACTGAACATTCTAAATAAAACTCGTTAAACGTTGTAATGGCTAGTTTCATTCTCTTAAAGACAGTTAAGCTGTGACAGAATTGTAACATCACAGATTGATGAGCTACAAAAATGTGAATGAGGATTTACTACTCATGGTCAAAAGGCACAAAATGTTGCATCATCTGCGTAAGAAACAACTAAAAAAAGAGCGTGGGTACTAATTTCATACATATTTTTCATTGGGTTCATATTGGACATCCAGTAGGTTAGACTGTAGAAACTGTAAATGAATAAATAAAAGAACTGTAAAAAAAAGTTTAAATAAAATAATAAAAATACAATAATTTTCCATGATCAACATGTATTTTATCATTTCAGTTCATGTGTATTTCAGTGAAGAATACTTAAATGTGCAAAAAAAAAAAAAAAATTTAAATCCTAAATTACCAAACTAATTACATTAATCTAATATAACACTAAATCTCTGTAAAATCACACAACCAGCATTTCTTTTTCTTTTTGTCAGTAATTGTATTTAATTTTAAATATACATCTTCAGCACTGAGTTCAACGACTGCAAAAAAAGGAAACATTGTTTAAATCTACAGATTTTTTTTTTGTGTGTATGTTACCCAAAGCAAAAACTAGCTCCTATTAAAAATGTGGGGCCTTACATGTGTTGTCAGTCAGGCCCAGATACCTTGGTAAGGTTCATTCACACAGCACCACTAGAAAAAGCAGAAATAACTTTATTAAAATATGACATTGCCTTTACATTAGTAAAGTAGGCTACAACTGTTTAAAACTAATGGAATACTGGACATGTCGATGTTTTACATTGCAACAAGAATTTGTTATAATGCTGTTATTATCAGTGTCCTCATTTTAAGCTATTGTCATCTCATGTCTATGACATTGGGAGCAATGATGAAATCAAAGTCAAATTCCTTGTATGTGTACACAGACATACTTGGCCAATAAAGCTGTTTTGGAGTCATTTTATGTGGCGCTCAATCAGAGTTTTTACTTTGACACAATCGCTCAATGTAGTGCCGTTCGTCTTCCGGTGTGTTTGGTCTGACTTGACGCAGCTTTACCTGCCTGATCACTGAGATGCGTCACTTTACTGAATCGTGACTAGAAATATAAAGTCTTTAGACTAAGACTTTACATAACTTTTTTGTTAAGAACTTTACGGTAATTTTTCCATAATAAAAGAAAACACATCGCACTCAATAAACAGTGTTTTAAAGAGAATGCAGGCCTATATAAACTCCAACAAAAAAGCTAGCCTGTATGAAGGTTGCACCACTTATCCTAATTGACAAAGTCTGATTCTGTCTGATTTGCACATTTGTGGACATTTGTCCCTTTGTCTTCGCGTGGTCTTTTCAGAAGCAGCTGTAAAAGATGTATTTACTTGAGTAAAGGTTTTAATACCACACTGAAAAAAAAAAATCTATTACAGGTAAAATTCCTGTATTAAATGTTTCTTAATATTCCTGAAAATGTACTTTAAGTATTTTTTTTTTAAAAAGAGGAAGAAAAAGATTATTATTGCTGATGCATTAATGTGTAAAAAAAATAAATTAATAAATAAATCATTTTTAACCTTTTTTGTTTAAGACTACAATTATTGATCATTATTACCAACTAATCATCTGCTGATTAATCTAACAATCAGTAGTTGTGTCGTTTGTAATCACATCTATGTTTTGTCCAACCACTGTCCAAATTTTTTCTGTCATTTTGGTTTTTTTCTAAGCAAAATCTGGCACAGTAATTTCCATCAGGATTTTAAAAGTTTTATCTTATCTTATATTTGAGAAACTGGAACAATGAAATGTTTGCCTTTTTTCCTGGAAAACAAAAACAAAAACTGGACCAATCATTTCAGATCTGCACGCATTGTGTAATCTGTAACACTGCCTCATATTTTATGAGCTGTTCATATATTTTGTAAGCAAATGCTTCATCTGTAGAGTAACCAAAGCTGTCCAATAAACGTAGTCAAGTATAAAGTATAATATTTCCTAATGACAACCAGTGGAGCGGAAGTAGCATTTTGAAAAAATACTCAAAGTGAAAGTACCTGATATCTGTGTTCAGCCTTAGTGCAGTACTTGAGATAATAAATATTCTTATTAATAATATTAGCATTAGTATTCAATGTCAGTATACCTATCTTTGTAGTTTTGCAAGTATAACCTCATAATCCTACATGATAACATGCAATGACAGTATATTATATATACTATATGGTTATATAGTCAAGCTTCATTTATGCAATTCTAGTTAAATATCAACACACCAAACCTATGTATACAGCATGTTTTCAGCTGTATTGTTGGTTTAAGTTTTGTTCAATGTCTTCATGAACATTTGAGTTCAGGAATAATGTTCAGATTGTTTATGTTAGGTCTTTGAGTCCCCTCATGTTGTTTTGTATAATTTCCCATTGGGGGAGATCTATCTATCTATCTATCTATCTATCTATCTATCTATCTATCTATCTATCTATCTATCTATCTAAAGTAAGTATTCATGAGTTAAAATCCTATTTTAAACGATTTGGAAGATGCTGTGGGTTAGTCTTTCATCTGTGCTCTGTGTAGTTTGTACTGTCAGCTGTCAGCTGGACATTTCATCCCACAGAGCCTCTTTTCACTGCATTGCCCACATTCCCCCTTTTTTTCCCACACGACCTTGTTTTCAACATGGATGCCGAAAAATCTTCCCACACATCGCTGTTTATGTTGCTGAAGAACCACTCCAGCCACATTATGTGGTGCACGGCGGCTCGGAATCTACAGACTGGGCTGGCTGCCGCCTTACTTTAAAGCTTAAATATTTATTTTATACGACGACGAAGCGCATTTGCAGTCAAAAGCCCGAGACAATACGAAAACCGACGCGGAATGGCGTCTGCCAGGGGCCCGGGAGGCTGAATTGCAGCAACGTAGAACGAGCAGGAAACGATGGGCACATATATTGACCAATAGGAATGGGATTTTTGACTCTCTAACCAATCATATTTCCTAAGCAGTCAATAGGCGGGACCGCACTCGGAAGACCGTGTTGTCATACATGTTCCCGGTTTCTGGACATCGCCGATCGTTTCCTGCACTGTTGCATGGTGGTCGAACAGGAGGAATTGTTGGAAATTTTTCGGAGGTTAGTATATAAATTGGTTTTTACCCAGTGTGCATTATTCCCACAGCCATCTCTGTGAGCGGGAGTGAAAGGCTGCTGCTTGGATTCAGTCGGAGAATGGAAATTGCTGTTGTATTAAACAATAAAACTGACACTCACCGAGCCAAAATGCTTATGTTATCATTAATTAGCTCAGGGATTGCTCGTTCTTGTTACCTAACTGCGTCGCTAGTTAGTCGAACTCGTCTTGAAGCTTCGTGAAGAGAGCTAGCTAGCCCTCAGGCTGTAATACACGGTCAACTGAGGCTATACATATACGTTTAGGACAACCGTGCCCTCGTTAACCATAATATTCACGGAACGGTTTGCTAATAACCGCTAAAATATCGTGACAGCACTGCTTGGCGTAGTTAGCACCGCTGTTAGCATAGCGGCTAGTTAGCTCACTCAGTTATGACAGATCGTTTCGGCGGCTGTAGCTGTTAGTGGTTGAGCATTTAGACATGCCATTAAGGTGTATTAACAGACCAGCCTTAGTGTTACACTGCAGTCGGTTTAATACCCTCGTTTGGTGATGTTTCATAACGGAGTGACAAATGTGGCAAGTCATAGTTGTGCTACATCATAGCTAGCTAGCCCAAAATGCTATATTCAAACCAACAAGCGCCAAAACATGAAGCGGTGACAGAAGATGACAGATGTTAGAGCCCATTCAGGTAGTGGGCACTGATTGATATATGAAGTAAATGATCAGTTACAACCACTTGAATAACTAATGTAACTCACGTGCCTTTTGCCGACAATAAAATTAGCTAATGCTAACTTGCGTTCGTCAAATGAGAAGGTAAACATGTCAGTCGGTCTTTGGTAGAGCTACAATTGATGTAAGACCTTTATTTTGTGCTTTTGGTCCTATGTGTGACTCATTAATGTTTGATCAGATATAACACATCATACCTGTGCCCATTTACACTCAGCTGCCAGTTTACTGTCTACACTTCCTGATTGTATTCTACATAGAAGAGAACTGTATACAATGGGCATGAGGGGAGCAGCAACTTTTCTTTTGCTCTCAGCCCCCCTTGTAATTTAACTTGGTCTTGAAAGTACGTTGCACATTGGCTAGGCCCTGCTATTAAACTAATGTTTGACTATCATCAGCAATTGCAAACTATTTTTATTTTTTGGTGCATGTATCACTGTGTGTCTGTGTTATTTGGCCTATGAGTACCAGTATGCGTTTCAAATAAATCTCCTACTTCTGTCACTCCAGCAGCTAAAGCATGCTCCTGGCCCAGATAAACCGGGACTCCCAGGGAATGGCAGAGTTTCATGATGCAGATGGGCAGCCAGTCACTCTCTGTCTGACGGAGGCTGTGACAGTGGCAGGTGAGCTCCCAAACTGGAACTTCTCATTGTTATAACACAATTTACTGTAAACATCAGTTGAACAGTTAATTAATGTGCAATAAATCACATTAAAACAACCGGGAAAAAAAGAAGGGGTAAAGTGTCTTCCGTCTAAAGCTAGCAAGAGTTTGGGTAAGACACAGTAACTGCACTCTCAGAAACTACAACAAATATTAAAGTCTTTTAAGCAAGAGACAAAAGTACAGTGATTTGTCAGTTGGGCCGTGTAGTTAGCTTTGAAAGCAAATGTCCATGACCTAAATTGAACAACCATAATCAAAGAATGTAAGACGATCAGTCAGTCATGTAAAATTAAAAAAAAACAACATCTTAATAGTCACACTTAAATATTGTGTTAGTTGTCAACATAAAATTTAAATGTGTCATGTGGTGCCTTAACCAAACAAATTCCTGTCAGACCTTTGTTTTCTTTCTTTTTCCCTTTCGGAAAGTTAAGAAAAAGTGCCACAACATGATCTTCTTACTTCCTAAACTGACGTTTAAACCATTGCCATTGTCAAATCATTTCCCAGATGGTGATCAGATGGAGAGCATGGACACAGTGAGCCTGCAGGCTGTGACTCTTGCAGATGGATCCACTGCATATATCCAACATGACTCCAAAGCCTCCTTTTCTGATGGACAGATTATGGATGGCCAGGTGATCCAGCTGGAGGACGGCTCTGCTGCCTACGTTCAGCATGTGTCTATGCCTAAAGCAGGTAAAACATAAACCCAGTGATGATCAGTAGTAATCAGTAATTTCAATTAAATTCAATTCGATTTTAATTGTATAGCACAGTTTACAACATGTGTCATCACATAGCGCTTAAATTTAAAAATAAAATAAAGTAGTAAAAAAAAAAAAATTAATAAAAGTAATGAGTGAATGAAAATATTACACAGACCTTAATGCCAGTAGGAGATGGAAAGTATGCCTGATGTACTTAATTAGGTTAGACAAAGTAAAGCAGTGCATGTCATCTCTGTGACATAATTCCCTCAAATAGGTCTGTGAGCACACAGTGTCATTGAGTTGGGAGTGACTAAGGTTTTCTTTGATGTGTATTTTAGGAGGGGACAGTTTACAGCTCGAAGATGGACAGGCAGTTCAGTTAGAAGATGGAACAACTGCCTATATTCACACGCCAAAAGGTAAATGTTTAATATCAATGTCTTGATGAGAGGAACAGAGATGGAGATATAAGGTCAAGAAACAGGAGGAAAAAAGATGAAGGGTTGAAATTTCATGTTTGGCTAATCTGTTTTAATTTAGCCTGCTTCTATAATTCTTTTCTGTATTACACTTGTACAACCTTTAGAGAATTAATGTACTGGTAAATTGGTTAGCAGCAGTTAGTTCCTCAGATAATTTGTGGACATTTAAGTATGTTTATGAACATGTCACACACTTTAATTTAAATGCAGTATGCATTATTTTCAGGATGTGTTTAGCTTAGGAGTGTTTTTTGTTGGGTTTTTTTTTTGAGTGCAGGAACAGAGCTTTGTGGCATTTGGTTACTAGACTGACGCCAGATCCTAAAGAAAAAGGCTGAAAAACCTTTTAAAATTTGAGTCATTTTGTCTGTTTGTTTACCGGAATTTTTTTTCATTCAGTTTCTTTATCCTTCTCCTTTCATTTCAATGCAGATGCATATGACCAGAGTGGCCTGCAGGAGGTACAGTTGGAGGATGGCAGCACTGCCTACATCCAGCACACAGTGCACATGCCTCAGTCCAACACCATCCTGGCCATCCAGGCTGATGGCACCATAGCAGACCTGCAGGCTGAGGCCACGGCCATCGACCCAGAGACCATCAGCGTGCTGGAACAGTACACAACCAAGGTACAGTACACCATCATATACGTAAGGGATAATGCCCGACGAGGTGTCCATTATCAGAAATTAATGGACGACGCGGAGGCGTGAACCGTCCGACGCGAAGCGGAGGACGGTTGCTTCCGCGAAGTCCATTAATTTCTGATAATGGACACCTCGAAGGGCATTATCCCGCTTATACCATGGTCACTTACGAAATAAATATTAAATCAATTATTAATACGTTAATGTTGTTTTTTACCGTTAAAATCGTAAGTTTTCCACAACAAGCGGCTGAGCGGACTATTTCATGTCTCTCGTTGTGACGCGTTGCCAAGGTAACCGGTCGGCCGCAGCTGTTATTGCTGTCTTGCCGTTGTGATAAATAAACTGAAATAACGTATATTAACGTATGTTCTGAGTTTCTGTTGCCACGGTTACCAACTACCGTTTGAGTCAGCGCATTAATTTAGAACAATCAGGTTATTTGACCGGAACTTCTTTATAGGTGTCATATATCACTTGTTAATGGACACCCTGCAGCCAATCAGAATCGAGTATTCACCCAGACCATGGTATAATATGTAACAGTGCACATTCTTGGGTGAATAATTTGCACATTCCTGCACACTTCAAACATTTTCATTACTTTAAACGTTCCTTGGATTTGCTGGTTGCTTTTAATCCATCTTTCAAAATGTTCTACATGTTAATGTTTACTGTAGTGCACCAAAACACCAAATCACATATTTCATACATGAAAACTTACATGGCAAAAAAAACTGTCTCAGACTCATACTGTTTCATTGTACTGTGTCACTGCTATTGTTTGACTTTTTTTTTTAGTAAATGATGTTGTGGAGCTTTTGCTAATATACACTGTATTGACATGTACCTGTTGTGTATATCACATTCTAAAATACTGTACTTGGGATTTATCTTGTGAAAAAAATGCAGCTGTAGATGGTTTTGAATTTCACAATAATCCGGGGAGCTATAAAATGAAGTGTCCTTTCTTTTACCACTCAGGTGGAAAATATAGAAAACCCTTTGGGGTCCTTTGGCAGAGTGGAAACAGACAATGGTGTCCACATGCGGGTAAAATATCCTTATTTCCTTAAGACTGATTTATTTTGTCCTTTTCTTAGGTTTAACATCAAGTCTGAATTGTGCTGCTTGTCTTTCAGATTGTGTTACAGGGTCAAGACAACAGGCCAGGAAGGGTCTCAAATGTAGGAGAAAAGTCTTTCCGCTGTGAATATGAAGGCTGTGGAAAGCTCTACACCACTGCCCACCACCTTAAAGTAAGTGTGGGTGTTTTGTGGATCTGCCTGCACATCATGAAAAAGTTTGCTGTATTGCAGTGCTTGAGCCACAAGTGTGGAATTATTTTAAGCAAATATTTTCCTCACAGCATCTTACTATCATGTGGTCAGCTACTGCTTTGCTTTTTCAGGCAACAGTGCTCAACAGTTCTGTTTGTATGCCCTGCAGGTACATGAGCGCTCCCACACTGGAGACAAACCATATGTCTGTGATTATCCTGGCTGTGGAAAGAAGTTTGCAACAGGTAACTACTGACAATTTATTGTTTTTCATACGCCTTTTTGAGACATGAACTCATTTCTGAACATGTTGGCTTCATGTGTGAATGATCAGCACCCTAGTAACTTTTCCATAAAAGGTTTTGTCTAATAATATTCCTGTATCGCTTTCAACCCGGCACAAGTCAGAAGCAATGTACTTGGGTTTGTATGAAGCGAACAGGGGAAGGCTTTTTCCACATTACAGCGCCAGTTTCAAATCACCAGATTTTTTGGGGATATTTCTGTGTCGAAAGAGATCCTTGCTATGACAGGACCTTTTCACCGACTGAACTTTATGACTGTAAAATCCTATGGTTACTATGGTGATGTTCTTGTCAAATTATCAACTGACAATAAATTAATTCTTGAGATTAAAAAATAACTAGAATTGGGTTCTCTTATGATATTGCAGATGATGACTAAACAGAAATAACAGCATATTCACCAAGAAAAATGTCGTAGCTGACTGTCTGTTTGTATTGTTATTTCAGGGTATGGACTGAAGAGTCATTCACGCACACACACGGGGGAGAAGCCATACAGATGTCAGGAGATGAATTGCTGCAAGTCCTTCAAAACCTCTGGAGACCTTCAAAAGCACACGAGGACTCATACAGGTAAACAACCACGCCCAGAAATGCAATGACCAACCTCAGTTTGTTACAACACACAGTAAACCTGAAAAGGTGTGTAAATGTGTAATGTTGCACGTCATAAGTCTGGCACGAGGGGCTACTACCATTTGCAACTGCTGATAAAAGCTATAAAACCTACCTGGCCTTGAGGCTCTGAGTATAGTACAGAGAAGGCTGTATTGTATTAAGTCACACACTACTGTTTTTTTTTTTTTAATGGCACGTGGTGTGGCTGAACAACTGGAGAGGTTGTGTTGCATTATGGAGTTAAATTTTTCCACAGCTACCAAAGTGCCGCAAGAGGACGGGCACATTGTCGTTATAAGAAGCATGATACCAAGTTGCTGCTGTTTGTTTTTGAAATGCAATACAAATTTTGCAGTTTTATTCACGCTTTTTATTCTTGTCCTTTTCAATTTCTTGCAAGTTTGTCACAAATTTCAAGTTAGTTAACTTTTTTTGTCCTTTTTTTTAAGGTGATTACGAGAGGTTTTGGTGTTGTGTATATCGCTTTAAAAACTGCTAATTGATGACTTTCTTCTATCGTCTGTCTCATCTCTTATTTTGCAGGAGAGAAGCCTTTCAAATGTCCAGTGGATGGATGCGGCAGGTCGTTTACCACCTCCAACATCCGTAAAGTTCACATCAGAACACACACCGGAGAGCGGCCATATTATTGCTCTGAGCCAAGCTGCGGACGGTCATTTGCCAGTGCTACCAACTACAAGAACCATATGAGGATTCATACTGGTCAGTTCTTTTACACATCAGTTTGTTGTTTTATCTCTTCCAACCAACTTACAGTGACTCAACAAGCTGTGGTTTCAAGTCCGCTAAATGCTCTCCAGTGTAGCCCCTTTACCAAGCTACAAACAAAACACACAATAATTTATTGAGGTCCTGCAATAAAGGTAGTTTTTCATAGCTTTATACAATTATAACTATAAAACAAAACCTGTTGTCTGCTTTCTTGCTTCTCCAGGAGAGAAACCATATGTGTGCACAGTTCCTGGCTGTGAAAAGCGCTTCACAGAATACTCCAGTCTATACAAACACCATGTTGTTCACACACCCTGCAAACCTTACAACTGCAACCATTGTGGGAAAACCTACAAACAGATCTCCACGCTCGCTATGCACAAACGCACGGCACACAATGACACAGAGCCCATTGAGGAGGAGCAAGAAGCCTACTTTGAACCCCCAACAGGTCAGTGTAAATACAGTAATATCCACAAAAACTGTTTTTGATAGAGTGTTATGAGGTGTATAAGAATAGATCAGACTTCACTGTAATAACAGTTATAATCAAGAGACTTAGTAACTTGAAAAAATGTTAATGAATTTTTTTACTGTCGAGTCAGATGCCATCGATGACCCTAACGTGAGCTACACAACGGCAGTGGTTGAGGCAGATGACTCTGGCTCAGAACAAGTTCCAGTAGAAAGCTCAGACATGGTGGGTCAGCAGCATGTTGCCTTGGTAACGCAGGAGGATGGAACACAACAGCAGGTAACAGAATGCAGTGACATCACAAATAGTAAACATGTTACAGTTTAGTACAGTTTAGATTCTTATGATGTTGATACAGTGATCTTTCTGGAAAAGTTCATATCGTGGCTATAAAACAGCAGTACTATGTACTAATACACTTCCACAAACACATACACACTGGATAGTCCTGTACTCGAACCGCTAGCTGAGCTGGAACACAGGTATCTACACAATATCTCCTTTAAAGGGCCATAAATGTGCATGTAGTGTCATTCAAAACTCTGCTGTTAGCATTACTACAGACTGGTGGTCAGTCAGACTCAGTGTTCAGACTGTCAGTATCAGTCACTAGGCAGCCATGAGGATATGCCACTTACAGTCGCTGCTCCGTGATTCCTCTGTTGCATGGTTTGACTATGCTGAGAGAGAGGCTTCCTGCAAAATGTGAGGATGTAGTTACCCTTTTATAAAATGTACATTCTAACTGGCTTTAAGTGGCTGTTTGACCTAAATATGTTATAGATCTGTTATAAAATGTGTGGGCAGACCTTTAATAATAATCTACATCTGATGGCAAATAATAATGAAACAAAGTAAAGTACAAAGGTGCTCCACTCATAGAAATTTTATTTCGAGTTTTTTTTTTTTTTTTTTTTGTATTTTGCTCAAAGAAATGCACTTAATTCAGGTGAAGAGCCTTATTTTAAGTCTTGACCTAAAACCAAGGAATTCTCATTATCAAAATAGTTATTAGCATTATTTCCATAATCACACAGCCCTACTGCAATTTGCAACCATTTAGTAATCGTTGTACGACTGTCACATATTGCTAAATTTCCTAACACTGTTTTTTTTGTGTGTGATTCATTGAGTATATATATTTTTAAATGGACTGAGGGTATTTTAAATAGAAAGCAAACAAAACATGATGAGTTGTTGCGTATGGTCAATAATACATTAGATTTAACTAGTATTGTGCCAGAATTATTTACTGCGAAGTGAATGTTCCTCACTCTGTGTTGTGTTTTGTATCAGGTCAGTATTTCTGAAGCTGACTTACAAGCTATGGGTGGCACAATCACCATGGTAACGCAAGAAGGCACAACCATAACAATCCCAGCCCACGAACTGGCAACACAAGGCGCACACTCTGTTACCATGGTGACAACAGACGGCTCAGATGAACAGGTAAACAATTGCTGTAGCTCTCAGTAGACTGTAAAAAAAATGTCAGAATAATAAGGTGTTTTTGTTTGTTTGGTTTTTTTTGGTTTTGTTTTTTTAAATTGACTGGCTTACATGGGAAGTTGAATGAATTGTTAATATGTAAGTAGCTGGTTGTATTTAGAAAAGAAGCCAGAAGCTCAGCACAAGAGAGTCTATTATGTCAAAGTAACACTAATTTGGAAAGAACTTAAAATATTACCATATAGGCAAACATATCAGCAGTCTTGAGTTGTTTTCTACTGAACCTCCATTATGGCAACAGATGTTTACAGTCAATTTGTGACACAAGACCGAAGCTTTAACTTAAGGGCCATGTTTCTGTCGCCCTCAGGTGGCCATCATGACACCCGACATGGCCTCATTCCAGACTGTGGAGGAGGCAGGCTACAGCCAGGAACAGGATGATATTCATCCTGTCACGTTACTGGCCACCTCCAATGGCACTCACATTGCTGTGCAGGTTGGTAGACCAACACCATAGGAGTGATTTAACTGGTGGGGTGAGTTCTGACCTGTGACTTTGTTATCTTTTTAAAGAAGAGGACTGGATACTTTAAAACAAAGAAGATGATACACATATAAAATGACTGGCTGGAAAATACAACCTCAGCAGTAAAGGCTAATTAAATATACAGAAATATCATGTATAAGTTTGTGTTATATGTACAGAATACTTACTGTGTCAGTATCTTTTAGTTTTGCTGAACACAGCATTAGGTTTTCTTTTGGGGAGGGGCTGTGTTGTTGTTTTATGTAGTTTTTCTTTATATGATACTGACAAGAGTTTCATGTGATACTGACTGCAGTTTCAGTTTCAGAGCGTATTTAAAATAGTGTCCCCAAATTATTCCCTCCCAGGTCCCACCCTGCTGAACTATTTGCTGAAATGTTTTAATAGAAATCATGGGTAGGTGGGGTTTGGCTCTTGAAGTGTAAGTGTGCTGTTAACCTCCTGGTGATACATTCAGTTAGGGATGAAACGTTACCAAAACTTATATCTAGGATGTTTAAGGTTACATGTAATCCATATTCATGATACTCATCAACCCTCTACTGCAAAAGAGGAAGCTAATGCTGTAATAATAATTTACAGCCGTGGTTTTATTTATGGGGCTGCAAGGTGGTGCAGTTGGTAGCACTGTTGCCCTGCAGCAAGAAGGTCGCCGGTTCGCGTCCCCCCCCCCCAAACTCCTGTGATTATTAAGCGGTGTATAGATAATGGATGGATGGTTTTATTTATGGTCTCTTGACACCAACACAAAAGCTTATCACCAAAAGCAGAGCGAAATAAGTGGAAATTTTAGTGCATATTGAAATGTTTTCAACTGATAAGTTGACCAGGTGATTTCATAGTTAAGAGCATAGATTGTGTGCACACAAACAAGTTCACTACATTATGCAAACACGCTTTCATTCAGGAAGGTATGTGTTTTAGTAACATATTGCACTATAACATTCATTTTAAACACTACATTAACTTGTTTGGCCTAAAAACCCCTTAGGGCTACAATTGCTGGTCTCATGACCCACCCTTTTTTCTCCTGAAACACACTGCTGTGCTTTTAACAGCTTCTGCTCTTATTATTGTGTTAATTACAAAGCAAACACTTCTTTCGCAACCTGTGACAGTCATCCATGAATTTCAGCAGCCCACAATCGGTCACAGTCAAAGCTCAGACTGTCTTTTAAAGGGGTTTCAGTCATCCTGACAGGATTAGCAATATGCTATTAAATGTTTGTCTTGTTTTTCCATTTCTCTGTAGCTTAGTGATCAGCCTTCGCTGGAAGAAGCCATAAGAATAGCGTCGAGAATACAACAAGGAGAGTCACCAGGCCTGGATGATTGATGGACTCATTAAGGACAGTGATTTAGGATGAAGACCATTTAAAATGGACTATATCAATGGGAGAAATCATTCAGAGTCTTCCACCATGTTTTTTTCCACAAAAGAACTTAGCTTTTATGTGTACATAGGATTTTGATAACTGGAGTTCTGCTATGCTATTTTGTCCCTCAACTAAAAACATGGGAGAGGGGAAAAATGCTTTCTAATGTTTATGGTGCACAGTGCACAGTACAGTGTACAGCTAATGCTATTTCTAATAAAAAAAATATTGTGTGACCAATTGACATGTTTTTTTTAACACTTGAATGCTTGTTATACTTCTACCTTTACCTTTGCTCAGCCGTAAAGCTAAAAACATACAGGTAAGCAATGTGAAATATACAATATGTGTTGTAAATCCAGGTACAAGTTACATAACATAAAAGGGAATTTCTGCTGATCAATAATGTTTAATTGTGGAAAATCTATAATGATATTTGTGTGTGTGTGTGTGTGTGCCAAAATCTAATTGTATACCCCAATTAGGAATGGCGGGCATAATTATACAACTTTAACAGCATGACAGTTAAGCCTATAGAATAAAGGAGCATCGTGTCAATGCTACGTCAGATTAGCTCCACAGTGAATGACACAGCAGATCTGGGTGTGTGTTGTTAGGTGTCAACCTGATAAGAAAATATCTGCATAAACTAATGAGATTATGCAACTTGTTAAACAACTTGATGATCCAGTTTGTCAATTTTCCTCCATGACTTGTAAAGTGTATGGTTCTTTTGTTTGTTTTTTTAAGCCCCCTCAGACCAACATTTACGCAACCAATTTACAACTCTAATTCAAGTGTTTCACCATTATGCCTCATGTGCTTCAGTTCAAAGCTTTTAGGTTAGATTTACAAGTTTACTTTACTAGATTTATATGACAGCTATAGTTGCTTGTCAAATCTTAGGATAGGATTTTACAAAACAAATAAAAGATTACCTTATAGAAATAGGAGTGCTACAAGTCAAAGCAGGTATGTACATTTCTAAAAAAAAAAATAATAATAACTCAAGCTCAACCAGCTACAAAATCACTATTATACTTGCATGGATCAGAGAAAAAACTAGGAATAAAACAAAAAACCCATAAATTATTTTTACTTGCTATGTTTGCGACTTTTACATAACTACTATACTCCTTCACTTGAAAGTTATTAAATTTAAAATGTCTAAGATTTTTTTTTTTGCAGATTTTTAACTTGCAAGATACTCTGGTCAAAACGGTATTTGTTAAACAGAAAAAGTAAAGAAAACTGCTTTGTCATGATTTATTGGTGGTGGATGGTCTCTTTAACCACTACACCATTTTTAGTGCTATGAAATGATTGGTTTTAGGGTAAATGAATGGGGTTTATAGTCTGTTTTTACTTTGATCTCTCTTATCTCGGCCTCTTTGATCGTGCCGTGTAAATAATAGACGCATTGTCTCGGGGTTAATGTAATAGTGCGGCTCCTGCGTGGTTCGCGCCACATCGTTTCACTGCCGTGGATGACGTAACGCCTCCTGAATAAGCCGTGGAACGCCCATCTTTCAAAAATCCTAAACGCGCTCTGATTGGCTGCTCACCAACATGTGACCAACGGTCGCGGGAAGTCCTTTGCCACGCGCGTGATAGGAAGCAGCCAGTTCTTGACTCATTCAAACTTTTTGTAAACATTGCTCAGGTTTTATTGCGGCGAGACGTGTTTCTGTGTCGGTGAACCAACGATACAGGAGGGACGGAGACCGAAACCCGACCGGACGAGGTACTTTTACTGTCTGTTCAGTAGTTTCAGACCAACTACGGACGTTGTTCTCACGGTGACTACAAGCTAGTCCGGGGCCATTCCTCAGCGCTGGATGGGCGTGTAGCAGTTAGCAAACAAGTTAACTTTTTCTAGGATGGTAACGAAGATTAACAGTAGTTAACGGTTGTTTTTCTACACTTCGGTTCAATACCTTTACTTTAAGGTAATTAGAAGGTGACTAGTTTTGCGAGAAACGCCTGTAACAGTAGTGGGGGTCCAACCGCGTGATTTTCTTTCCCCCGTCGACGACGCCGGGGTTTAAATCCTGAAAATGTCGACCTACAGTCGCCATCGACACGGATCTCCTTCACCCAAAACTCGGCCAATTCGTCAGAAATTACAGTTCACATCCAGCGATGGAGAAGACGACCCCATTGAGGACGTTAACAACAGCACTGGGGGTGAGTCTGGCTTCACGGAGATGGATTCCCCGATGCCAGTGCGACGGGACACCGCCGACAAACTGCTGGAAGGCAGCAGCAGTCCCTTGAATCAGTCCGGCGGGGACGACGACGTGGAGCTTTGGGACGAGGAGGGTTTTGGATCCCCGTCTCACCTACGGTCACCGAGCAGTGTTATCTATGCTAACTGTTCACCATCACCGAGGAAAAGCCCTCGGCTGTACGGAGGCTCACCGGAGCGCTCCTACGTCCAGGACGACGGGGAAGGATCCAGCTCCCCGATCCCAGACTGCCCCGACACACCTCCGCACAAAACCTTCAGAAAACTCCGGCTTTTTGACACACCGCACACACCAAAGGTTAGTATTTTTGACAGAAAAGACAACAAGTCTTTCTGAAACTGTATTTACTTGTGAGCAGTGGATCAGTGGATGCATTGTAGTGTGTAATGTTTGCAATGATCACATCTGCAGACTTTCGTTATCTGATTTTGTGCACTTGCAAAAAACAAAACACAACAACAACAAAAAACATAACAGAACCCTTTGTGGGCAATTGTCTCAAAAAATAAGTTTGCACTAGTAAATCATTCATTTGACTGACTCTGGTCAGGTATTTAACTGCAAAGAAGTCAGGGAATGGTGGCCCCACCTGCCTCAAACGAACCAATGTATTCAATTTTTTGAATTTCTTGAGATGCTGTCTTTGTGTAGTCAGTTAACGACCCAGTGACCCACTTAATGTACAACTGTAGTTATTGCATAATGTTCCCACTGTAGTTAGTCAGCCAGATGATTTGGGGACCTGGAGTTCTATGTCTGGGCATGTCTTCATCAAGGATTACTGCATTACACAAATATTCAGAGATTTATTGCAAAACCTTATCTTACAGCTACCATCATTACATAATGTTTTTAAAATTCATCTCTTGCTTGGCTTGATTACATCTCTAGTAATTGTGTTTCTCTCTCTCTCTGCTGCTGCTGCTGCTGTCAGTACATAACAAAACTCTAAATCTGTCTTTTGCAGAGTTTGCTATCCAGGGCGAGAGGCTCTGGACTGGGGTCCGCCAGCAGGAGAGTTGCCCTGTTCAAGAATGTGGAGGCCTCAGGAAAGTCAATCACAGACAGTGGCAGGAGACAGCAGACCCCGCTGGTCAACTTTAACCCCTTCACTCCTGACTCCCTCCTCATCCAATCTGCCACACAGCAGAGGAACAACAGGAAGAGGGCACACTGGAATGAGTATGTACTTGAGATTTTTTCCGTCTGTTAGATGTATGCCATTTGACTTCTGATATTCCAAAACAATGTTACTTACTGTTGTACCTGATAAGACTGTTTCCTGCATGCAGTGTTTTGGTTACTTTTTCTCACTCAGTCAGTTGGTGAAGAACAACTTTTCATTTTCATTAATTATGCAAAACCTGTAAATCACACATTGCAGAGCAGTGTTAATCACTTTTACCTACGATGAAGAGCACAGACGAAAGCCTTTGTTACAGTAATCAGATACGTTAAAGCCGTTGACTAAGACCAGGGGGTTTGGCTGGGAACCAGGACCTCATGGTTACTGCTGAACTCTGCCATGTGCTTGTGAAGCCCCCAGTGCTGCCCCCTGCTGTACTGAATGCTGACCAACACCCTCTATTGTCTTTGATCTTTCAGCTCCTGTGGAGAAGATATGGAGGCAAGTGACGGTGAAGGAGAGGAAGAAGTCCTCCCACCCTCTAAGGTGATTACATGTTCTTGTTATTTGCAGTAATTACATATATTAATTTATTTGCAGTTTAAAATATAATTGTGCTATTTCTCTTCAATGGACATGCTATTTTTTGTAAGAGGGGTTTTTTTTTTTAGACTGTGTTTTAAATATTAAAAATACTCTAAATCAAAGAAAGAGGCAAATTCAAACAGGATATCAAAATATTTTCTAATCGTTTTAGTGGAAAGTTTTTTTGCGACTGACAGTACACTTTTCTGTAAAAAGATTTTACTGTTAAAACACCATAAAGGCAAAGCAATTCAATAAACTGCGTAACAAATTACAGCCAGTAGGAGACGCAAACGCTTTGCATTACACTAATTGTTATTGCAAGTACAAAGTGGAAAAGCTTGATCTGCTGCTTGGTTTCATTTCATATGTAAATTAACTAGAAACTGTTTACTGAGTAAACCTGTTGGTCTCAATGGTTATGCTAAATGTGAACTGGGAAGAAACTGAACAACAGCTTTCAAGTTTGTCATGTTTATATTAAATTTGTTTTAAAGCTTTTCTTCTCCCCTCAGAGGATCACCATGATGGAAAACAACATGATGTCCCGGTACGCCTCAGAGTTCCTGGAGCTGGAGAAAATAGGCTGCGGGGAGTTTGGTGCTGTGTTCAAGTGTGTGAAAAGACTGGATGGCTGCATCTACGCCATCAAGAGATCAAAGAAACCTCTAGCAGGTTCAGTAGATGAGTAAGTAGATTATTTTGTTTCAGTTTAATTGAAAAGATGATGTAAATTAGATTGGTACCTGAAGATTGGCATCCAGCAGTAGATAAATATCAGTGGTCTAAATGATATACTTTGTTCACTGACTTAGAGGACATGTAGTGCCTCAAAGTAACTACAGTTTAAACTTAATGGTGCTGTTGTGTTTGTAATAGAAGCTCACATTCCAAGATTTGTACATAATGCCTCCACTTGGAACTTAATGTTATAATATTAGGCACACAAAGTCATGCATATAGTTTCTTATATGTCTGAATAGACAGGATAAGGGTTGCTTGCCAAAGCTTGAGGGGCCTCTACTACAAAACTACAAAGCCTGCTTCAGACATGTCCTAATTAAAATGGTCTGTTCCCTTCCCCAACAGGCAAAATGCCTTACGGGAGGTGTACGCCCACGCTGTGTTGGGCCAACATCCCCACGTGGTGCGGTACTATTCAGCCTGGGCAGAGGACGACCACATGCTCATCCAGAACGAATACTGTAACGGCGGCACACTGTCAGACGTCATCACAGAGAACTACAGGCGGCTCAGCTACCTGTCGGAGCTGGAGCTGAAAGATCTGTTGCTGCAAGTCACACGTGGACTCAAGTACATCCACTCGACTTCTCTGGTGCATATGGACATTAAGCCCAGTGAGTACTCTTTGTTCATAGTAAAATAATGCTTTTTGAATTTGTAACCATACATTTTTTTAGAGGCACAAAGGCAGGATTTAAACTCATGATCTGTTAATATTTTGTCATGCATTGTAGCATTTTAGATATAACCACTTTTTTAAAAGGAAGACCTATTGTTTTTTGTGATGTGTTAGAGTGTTTAACATGTTTCCTGGTCTGAAACTAATGTGAGTGTAAACTTTTTTGTTATAGGCAACATTTTTATTTCACGGAAATCCGTAGCAAGCTGTGATGAATGTGACGAGGATGATGGTGTGACTACTAGTGTTGTTTACAAAATCGGTAAGTTGCTTCCCCAGTTGTATGGCAACACCCTGTCACCTATCATTTATCCATCTTATCTTACTGATAGTCATCTTCACATCCAAAATCTATACTGTTTGTGTTCCCCCTTCAGGTGATCTTGGTCATGTGACAAGAGTAAACAATCCACAGGTTGAGGAGGGTGACAGCAGATATCTGGCTAATGAAGTTTTACAAGAGGTTTGTAACCCTTCTTAAAGTAAACAGTTACTACTTTTGAAATAGTACAGCTTCAAACAGTCTTTAATCTTTCCTTGTTGTTCTGATGTTCTCTTTAGGCCTACAGCAACTTGACAAAGGCAGACATCTTTGCTTTAGCTCTGACTGTTGTCAGCGCCTCTGGGGCCGAACCTCTACCCACCAACGGAGACAAATGGCACGAGATCAGACAGGGCAAACTCCCCGCCATTCCTCAAGTGCTTTCTCCAGAGTTCCTCAGTCTTCTTAAGGTAACTGTCAGAAACACTTTTCCTGTATTTTTTATTTATTTATTTATTTTTTTAATTAGTATGAGTTTGTTAGACTGAGATTTTGTAATGACCTTGCTTTGTTCGTTGTCAGAGCCCATCTAATTATTTTATGAATGAATGAATGATCTGGATGGTTTTTAATCAGTGTCTAAAGTGTTAGAAATGTCTATTCTTTTCTCTTTTTCAAAGGTAGAAAACCCTTGTTAGAAGGATCATCTACTATGTATTTTACTATATAAAATGTAGAGTAAGGTAAATGAAGTTTTTTAACTGCTGATCAACAAAGCAGTGTATTTGAATAAATCAGGAGGGGCTTTAAGAGCATTTTATTCACCTTTTCCTTGCATTTTTTGGACCAAACAAAACCAAGGAAAAACTGTATGTTATAATAATAATAATAATAATAGTAATTTGTTTGCTGTTAGGCAGCATTATCTTTTTCTTCTTTAATCTAATTTCTCTCCCCCCCCCCCTGTTTTTCCAGCTGATGATCCATCCTGACCCAACCAGACGACCGTCAACCTCTGACCTCATCAAACACCCGGTGCTTCTGACTGCTGCTAGAATGAGTGCAGACCAGCTCAGAGTCGAGCTTAATGCAGAGAAGTTCAAGAACGCCCTGCTTCAAAAGTAAGTGCAGCTCAAAATCTCCCAGAGTGTTGAGCATTCTTTGATTAACTGCCATTCAACTAGCCTTTGAGTTCAGGAAACTCACACAGTCAAAGTATAAGAACAGTAGCAGCTTGTGTTGTTCTTGCACAGAAACTACCAAAGTTATCTGGTTTCATTAATGATTAACTCCTGTACTTTATCTTCGGCAGAGAGCTGAAGAAAGCCCAGATGGCCAGAGCAGCAGCAGAGGAGAAGGTTTTGTCTACCGACAGGATCCTGACTCGCTCCACAGTCCAGGCCAACCCCAGAACATCAAGGCTCATTGGAAAGAAGATGAATCGGTCGGTCAGCCTCACAATCTACTGAGACTTTACTCCGCCCCCACAGGAAGTTAAACACGAAGGCTCATGGACCTTTTATTCAGATCTGTTCAGTTGAAATGGTCTCTTTAGTTTTTCTTTCGAAGGAGAACACTGTCAGCTGTGGTGTTGGGCTCTTCCGCCCAGTAAAGCTGTAGACTGTTGCCACACCGAACTGGAGCTTATCTCACTTGACTCTTGTTGCCAATATAGTTCAGCCATTTTCCTGATGGAATTTTTCCTTGGAAAATGACTTCATTCCTCGAAGGTAGTTGCTTTACCTTTTACACTCAGTCATTCCTTAAGTTTGCATAGACGTCAGGCTCTTCTACCGTCTGTGTCTTTGCACTTCCCTCAGCAAAGCCGAAGCCTGGTGGCAACGGATCAAAGCCGCAGCGAAGCTCTCTTCAGTGTGAATGTACTTGCCGTAGCCGTGCGCACCTTACTGCCTGTCAAATGCCTGATGCTGCGTACCAGAGGGTCTGAGAACTGACGATTTTCTGTGTTTGTAATGGAGCACTTTGAAGGCAACACGTGGAACTTGCCACATTGTTTTAAAAAAAAGAAAAAGTGAGAGAGTGAAGAAATCTGCTGCTATTGATGTTTTGTGTGTATCGGGGTTGGTCAGTTTTGGGTTGGATCGTTCTGGAGGTCATTGGCTGTTATTTTTCAAGTGGCAGAAGTCCATGTAATGCCAGTTTTTATTTTTCTGGATGGATGGAAAAGTGATAATGCCATTAGAAGAAAATATCCAATTAGTTTGAAGCAACAAAGCTAGTGAGCTAACTCATAATCCGTGAGGTTAGAATTGATCCAGTATTTTGAACTGTTGATCTGTGCTGCCAACCCTGCCTGTAGCATTAGAACAATCATTGTCCTGTTCTTTGGATTCTCATGTGTTCTGTTATTTTGTATTTCTTTTTCTGTTATTGTCACAAAACCCATCTTCTGTTATTGTTTAGGCAAGTATTCCTCATTCTTCTGTTCTTGTAACCCTTAACATGAAAGAAAATGTTTCTGTTGTTGTAACATGTACATATGTTCTTTTAATAAATTCTCACCACCTATCCTTTCTTTTCTGTTCAGTTTGACATTTTATGTTCAAGAAAAAAAGTTCTCTAATCTTCAGGAACACATTTGTTATCAGCCTTTTTAAAGTTATGTCTTGAGAGATATTTAGTTTTGTTGGACCAACACTCAATGATTCAGTTATGTTCATTTTACTATGTTTTATTTTCACATTTGAGACACTGGAACCACATCGTATTTGGCACTTTTGAGTTGGTTTATTTGTTTTTGAATTAAAGTGAAGTTATAGGTCTGTCCATCTAGACAGAACTAACATAAAAATTGGTAGAAATCCTAGAGAAACTAGAAACAAAGGTCAGCGTTAAAGCAGAGTTGATGCATCTAACCTGATTCCTGGAAACTATTTTTCCCTAATAGTTGTAATACATACGTATATATATATATATATATATATATATATATATAAAATTGCATTTAAGAAATACGACAACTCTGAATATGTGCATAAGCAAAGTGACCAGCAACGATGAGTTTAGTCATTAGTTTTTGTAGGGGTTAATGAGAGGATGGTGTTGAGTTTATCTAGGTCTGTATGCACTGAGCCATCAAAACCATAAAATGGCTTTAAAGCTTCCTCCTCACTGGTTCACCTGGAATTAAGTTTTTTTCCCACTTAAAGGACTTGAGATTTAGAAAACGAATCCCATGAGAATTGTTTCTCTTGTGATGTAAAAGTGCACCTGAAGGAGATTATTTTGTACACCAAACTGAAACAAATGTAGTCTTAATAAATCCCAAGAGTTCTGTGAAGTTGGCTGACATTTTGGAGACAGGATCACACATCTATCAAGATCTGTTTGAAAGGATTTCTAGGAGGGCAAATGGTTGAGATGTGACATTCAAGTGCCTTACTACAGCTTTAACTGACATCTAGCATCAAGCACAACAGCTTGTTCTTGTCTTTCTCTTGTCATCTGTTGCATCATGTCATTTGAACACACAGAGCGGATCAGGTGGTTAGAAAGTTGTAATCAGCTGCACAGCTCAAAAACGTTTTGTGCACAATTGTCTAAATTTCACCCTTTACTAATTAAAACTATAGTGATGAGATTTTTCAACTTTTTGTCCAAGTCAAAACAAGATAATTTACATGCTGTTTTTATATTTGTGTTCCATATATGATAACAATACAGTACAATTGCATTTTTTTTTTAAAAAGATGACTTTTAAATTGAAGGTCACAACAATGAGAGAAAAGGAGAGATTGCCTTTAACTTTTAGTTCACATATGTTAACATATATATATTTGCATCAATATCCCAAAGTTAAACATCCAAATGTATCTTAATCCTCACATCACAATCCTTAAAAAATCTTTTAACCTGCTATATAAAAAAAAAAATTCCATCCACTGAAATATTAAACATAAATTTTAACCCCCTTTCTTAAGTAAATTTTTTTTATGGCCCTTCCAGCTAGCTGTCGGGCCGCCATCTTTGTTTAGACAGAGGTAAACAGATGTTGTGCTTGAGCAGGTTAAAGGACTTTTTTTTTAAATCATTCAGTTCATGTAATATTATTTCAACCAGACAGTTAAAACAGTCTGTAAGTCTTGGTAAGTGACCCTCTGGTTTTTTTTGTGTTTTTTTTCTTTCAACATGGTAGGTGAATTTGCTTTTACAAAAACCTGTTGTTAGCTTTGCAACATTATGTATGCTAGCACAAATTTGAGCTAAGTTTAGTCAAATATGGGTGACCCGGTGAAACTTAAGGTCATATTCAAGACTATAGCCTAAATTGTTGGATTAATTACATAAACCATGATCTACTACAGTCACATGATAGCAAACAAGCAATAAAAATTGTATTACACATGTGGACAAAATTGTTGGTACCTCTCGGTCAATGGAAGAAAAACCCACAATGGTCACAGAAATAACTTAAATCTGACAAAAGTAATAATAAATAAAAATTCTATGAAATTCTATTAAAATTAACCAATGAAAATCAGACATTGCTTTTGAACCGTAGTTTATTTATTTAAAAAAAAATAAACTCATGAAATAAGCCTAGACAAAAATGATGGTACCCTTAACTTAATATGTTGTTGCACAACCTTTTGAGGCGATCACTGCAATCAAGCAATTTCTGTAACTGTCAATGAGACTTCTGCACCTCTCAGCAGGTATTCTGGCCCACTCCTCATGAGCAGACTGCTCCAGTTGTCTCAGGTTTGAAGGGTGCCCTCTCCAGACGGCATGTTTCAGCTCCTTCAACAGATGTTCAACAGGATTTAGATCAGGACTCATAGAAGGCCACTTCAGAATAGTCCAGTGTTTTCCTCTTAGCCAGTCTTGGGTGTTTTTAGCTGTGTTTTGGGTCATTATCCTGTTGCAAGACCCATGACCTGCGACTGAGACCAAGCTTTCTGACACTGGGCAGCACATTTCTCTCTAGAATACCTTGATAGTCTTGAGATTTCATTGTACCCTGCACAGATTAAAGACACCCTGTGCCAGATGCAGCAAAGCAGCCCCAGAACATAACAGAGCCTCCTCCATGTTTCACAGTAGGGACAGTGTTCGTTTCGTGATTTGCTTCATGTTTGCATCTGTGAACATAGAGCTGATGTGCTTTGCCAAAACGTTCCAGTTTTGTCTCGTCTGTCCATAGGACATTCTCCCAGAAGCTTTGTGGCTTGTCAACATGCAGTTTGGTAAATTCCAGTCTGGCTTTTTATGATTTGTTTTCAACAATGGTGTCCTCCTTGGTCGTCTCCCATGAAGTCTACTTTGGCTCAAACAATGATGGATGGTGCGATCTGACACTGATGCACCTTCACCTTGGAATTCACCTTTAATGTCTTTAGAGGTTGTTCTGGGCTCTTTTGTTACCATTCCTAGTATCCGTGTGTCATCAATTTTCCTCCTGCGGCCACGTCCAGGGAGGCTGGCTCCAGTCCATCGATCTTACATTTCTGAATAATATGTGGAACTGTAGTCACAGGAACATCAGGCTGCTTAGAGATGGTTTTATAGCCTTCACCTTTAACATGCTTGTCTATAATTTTCTTTCTCATCTCCTGAGACAACTCTCTCCTTCGCTTCCTCTGTTCCATGTTTAGTGTGGTACACACCATGTCACCAAGCAGCACAGTGACTATTTGTAACCCTATGAATAGGCCGACTGACTGATTACAAGTTTGTAGACACCTGTGATGTTAATTAGAGGACACACCTTGATTGAACATGTCCCTATGGTCACAGTCTTTTCTAGGGTTACCATCATTTTTGTCCAGGCCTGTTTCATGAGTTTATTTTTTTTAATAATTCTGTTAAACCAGGGTTCAAAAGCAATGTCTGATTTTCATTGGTTAATTTTCATAGAATTTTTATTTCTTATTACTTTTGTCAGATTCAAGTTATTTCTGTGACCATTGTGGGTTTTTCTTCCATTAACCGAGGGGTACCAACAATTTTGTCCACGTGACGTGTATCTGTATAAAGGCTAACTAGCTGACTTTACGTTAAGCTTAGCTAATATGGAATAATTCTAGGCATTTATTTGCTGCTGTAGCACCAGCTAGCTAGCTTGAATTCAGCACACTCCTACCAGCTAAGGTTCCCTGCAGATTTGACATCATTTTTATGTTCGCACTTTAAATATCAATAATAAAGTTATAGCTTTTATTGGCATAACTTACGACTTAACTACTGTCTAAATGTGTTCACATAAACACATTGTGTCCAGTCATCCTTAAATTTATCACACCATCCAATTAAAGAAGGAAAAAAACAGCTGTCACTGAAATAAGTTGAAACTGACAAAAGTAATAATAAATTAAAGCCGCAAGCGGCGATGGACGGGTCCTCGCACGTACGCTTGTCGGCCTTCGCGCACGGCGGGACTGTGATCCGGCATGTCGAGTTTGGGGCAGATCGGAGCAAGTG